AATAAATTTAATGGATTTCTAAAATTAAAATAGTTGTAATTTTTCTATATTTTACGTAGAGAGTGCAGTTAAATCTTACTTTTTCTAAAGAACTGTTAAAATATTATAATCAAAATTTATTAATGCTAAATTAACAAATCACATACTAAACATATTAGCTATCTCAAGTCACAAAAGGGATCTACAATTAATTCAATTTTTTTAGTCAAATACTTTAAAGTCTGAACTGAATAATCGTAAAAGTAATATATATAAATTTAAAACTCTGTATAAAATTAAAATGAATAATATGAAAACTTTTAACTTTGTAATACTATATAAAATTTAATATGTTTTTATTTAAGCTTATTTTAAATAATTATTGCCAAACAATTGTATTGGTCATTTTTAGTTTCTTATTCAGTTCCTTCCAGTTTTTTCCCCACTGTCCAGGATGAAATACCAACCCTCTCTTAAAACAATTTAAGAGATTTTGTAACGAAATTGTACATTTTTGTATTCCTCCTAAACATTACGTTGACATGAATTAACTCAATATTTATTTACTTTACTTGTATTGTTAATGGTAAATATTTTTAATTGGTTAAATATTTTATATGTAAACTATGAAAGTAACAAGAGTTTATATGTTACTTATAATTATTTTAAAAATAAATTAATTCCTTTGAATCATATTTGTAGTTCAACCGATTTATTTCTTGTGAACTAACCTTGAATTATCTGATTGATGAAACTTATAAAATCGACCCAATTTAGATCGATTTACGTAACGTCCCATTGAGTTCGAGTAAGTGAATTTTTTGATAACGACCGAATCGTTTGCTTCTCTTTTTCTTTCGAGTTAGAGTCTTGAAGATCGTTTGAAACCATTTAACTTGTAGCTTCATTTCCATTGTTTTCTAGGTATTAGGCCTAGTCCCCTTGGCTTCTCCTGAAAGAAGCTTGTCATCTTTTATTTAGCTCTTAAAAATGTCTTCCCCGCTTTGGTTTATTGGTTCGTTTGAAGCTCCGCCTTCTACGCCGCATGCCTCTACCTTTTACAGCAGTGCTATCGATTTTTTTGTGAATAGAGCGCGAACCTCGTTTTATTTCGCCGAGTTTTAGTCATCGGATTATAAAGCAGCAAATACATAACGGGAGTGGGTGTACGGGGGTGATGCTCCGGGGTGAATTTTATCCGGGATTTTCATTTCCTGATAGTTTGCTTCTCCCATTCTCTCCCGGTTCTTACTTCCTTTCTGCTTATTTGTTCAAAATTCTCTCAAATTCCTTCATTTTTCTCCTGTTGGAGAAAGACTCATTGAACGGAGGGAAAAACGTTAATAAATACGACAATCATTAAATAACTAAAAGGATAGTACTCCTTTTATGTGATAAATCATAATTAAATTATTAATAATTTTCAAAAAAAAAATTTCCCCTTATTAATATTTGGCAAATTTTTTTTAATGTATAAAAATTCAACTTTCTGATCATATTTTTAAAAACGTAAGCTTCTTCTTCTCCATATAAATTATTTTATTTATAAGATTATTATAAAATTACCATTTATTTATAAATTTTAAATAATTTCGAATTGTATTTTGGTGCAAATTGTTATAATTAAAACAAGCCTTAGCACTTAAAGGGGGGAAAATCACTTTGTTCAAAATTAAAATGTTTTTTTTTTTCTGAACAAAAGAAAACCTTTAAATACCTTTTTTACTTGTTCCTTTTTAACCATTTGATGCTCCTCTAATACTTCAGCATTGAATTTAGAAATGGAACACTTGAATAACTTTTGATCTAACGTCAGATCTTGACGTTACTTAACTGGAATCTTAAAAGTTTTAGGTGCAAGTGCTGTGCAGACAATTCAAGTTGTGAAATCAGACTTAAAAAACGTACTTTCTGTGAATAAAACCTTTTTTTCCTTGGATTCGAATTTTTAACCCTTTAAATGCTCATAGTTGTTCTGATTTTCCTGATACAAAATATGCTGTAATTATTTGTCCTGATTTTTATCTTTTGTTATAATTTTTTTTAAAATCTCAATTAATAATGTTAGTAAACATCTTTAATTCAATTGTTCAAAATATTAATCTTGTTTCAAACTTTTAGTCATCTTAAGAAAATAAAACTTTTTTAGCGACATTTTTGTAATCGTATTTTTTTTTTCATTCTGTCTGATTATTAATTAGAAAGTTGCGTTAATGATAAAGTGATTAATATTTTTGAGTAAAAAAATTTTTTTCCCCTTGTCTGTCAAATTATAGTGAAAACATCGTTTTCCAATTTCTCATCTTCTCATTTTATTTATTGCTAAATCGAAAAATACTTATAAATGGTCATTTACTTTAAATAAAAGTTTAATTTTTTAGTTTTTATATACAGTAAAACCTCCGTTAAGCGGACATTCTTGGGACCGGAAAAATTGTCCGTTTATGAGAGTTGTCCACTTATGGGAAGGGTACTCTAATAACGAAGTTTAGCACTGTTAATTGTTTTTAGAATATTTTCAAAGATGTAGAAATAATTAAATAATTTACAGTAACTATCTGCAAGGATATTTATTTAAACTTTAAGAAAGATAAAAAAGAATACATAATTCTAGATGTAGCTACAGATAAATGAATATAATTTTCCTATTAGCATAGTTACTCAAGTCTGACATATGATACCGAATAGGAGCTTTCAATCCTCAGTAGGTTTCAATTATTAGGTTTACATCCCCTTAGATCTACCTATCATTTGATAGGGAACATGGTTAATACCTTCTTGAAAGCTAACCTCCCACGATTCACAGCTAAGTCATGAGGACCTATGGAGTTTATTATTCACAATTGATCATCTATCAAGTGTCTGAATAAGTGTTTCATTTATATGAACACATCAAAGATTATATTTCTGTTAAATACAGTCTTCAAATTGATAAGAAAATGTAAGAAATTTTCAATGGGGAAGAAGCATTGAGAACTTTCAAGATGTCATTTCAACTTGAGGGGTCTCATAATCTGTGTAGTTCAGAGGAAAAGATCAAAAGATGCCACTTAATTTCAGGAGACGAATTATTTCAGGAGAGCAGTATAATTTTCTCTCCTCCTTTCTTTACAAGGATAAGGCAAGGTGAAAGGAGAAAGATCGATTATTCAGTAGAGAAATAGCTTAACCATATTTTTAGTTATGGATAAGGCAAAAAATTTACAAGTTTTAAAAATGGCGAAAAGTTGCATTTTTTCCCCTTGCAATTTAAAGCAGAAATATTTTTTCTTTTTTCAAATTTAGATAAAGAAGTGTCCTGTTTGAAGAGATAGAAAATACCTTTTCAGGGCCAAAATGACTGTCTGTGTCCGGTTACAGGAATGTCCACTTTGTGGAGAATGTACATAATGGTTTATTCATAAAAGATTCCCATGGGAACTAAAAATATGACCGTATTGAGAGACGTCCATTTTGTAGGAGTGTCCTAACAGAAGGATTCACTGTGTATATATATATATATATATATTGATGATCTCGATGCATTACGTTTTCTTATCATTTGTTTATTTTTATTCATTTATTTAGTATGTAGAATATATACGAATTAGTTTTTAAATAATTTATTACTGCATTAAAATATCTATAACTAAGAATAATACTTAATTCTGGAGTTCTTAATTAATTTCTGGAGGTAAGGAATTTCTGAATCCGAGATATCTCACTGTAAGCATGCAAACTCCAAATCCCACCGTTTTTTAAATTCATTTCTGATCAACTTATTTCTATCTTAATTTTTTATTTAAAAACATTGACTTTTTTTTTTCTTTCCCCAAAGTACCATGTTACAATTTTGTTTAGTTCTTACTTCTTCATTTCCCTTTTTAAAAAGTAATCTGGTATGTGTATATTGTACCAAAAATAGGGTCCTTATTTTGCCTTAATTTTTTTGCAAAATGTTTCCCTGATTTTTATTTTGAATCACTGCAAAGACTGGCAGTCGCAATCTGGAAAATATGATCCCAAGAATTCAATAGTTGAAACTTTTACGTCACTCAAAGTTTTATTTTGAGTGATTCGTCATATCTTTGAAATTAATTTTTCGAATCAAAGAATTTTTGCTCTTAATTATAGAACGAGTTCATCCTAAGATGAATGTGAAAAATTATTTATTATTTTATTCATTTTAATATGTTCTAAAAAATTTTAATCTGTATAACTTGTACAAATTTTTACTTAATTTTAAACTATTTATTTTTAAATAACAAAATCGAAAATTTGAACAAAACCTTTTTAAAAGCAAAAATATTTTTTTTAATTAAAATTCATTAAAGCATTCTGTGTTATTTTGCACTCTGTACCAGGGCTCGAAAAAACTCAGAAATTTTACCCGTCCCCGAGGACGGCTTGTCCAACAATGTACCCGTCCTCCTTTGAAACTAACCCTTAGCTTCTAAATAAATAAATATATAATTTTCTCTTATTTATTATTAACATTTATATAAATTGCACAATGAATTAGTAGTTGCTAGGATTGCATTATACAGTAATAAAAGAAATACTAGGTTACTAATAGTAAAACCTAGTATTTCTTTTATAAAATAATTTAAATGACAAAGATCAAGTTATCTGGAANGTAAGTTCATTGCTGAAAAGCCTCTTTCAACCGGTGCAGTACTACCAGAGAAAACATCGATTCCATCATGCGCAGTATGTTGCTGTATTTCTAGATTAGAGGGTCATTTTAGAAGTGAGGTGCTAGACTCTAGTAAGGTAACAAAAATTGAAAATGTATCACGAACATTAACGGTAAAATAGCTGTCTGCGCGGACGGCGGATTCGAGAAATTTGTTGTCCGGGGGAATTTTTGACCGCCGAGGACGGGCGGTTTTTCGAGCCCTGCTCTGTACATTTGAATTATGCTTCCACAACACTATTGTTTATAATAATTTAAATGTGTTTATCAAACTAAATATTTGTCTAATATTTAGTGATAATGAGCTCAATTTTTCTAAAAATTCACATTTTGTTTTCTTTTGCAGCTTTTAATTCAAATAGAAAATCACCTGTACAATTCTATTGAGCATAGAGCATCTTTATTGATAGCAGCATGGACATGTCTTGGTGGACAGATAGGTTATTTTCGGTGCATAGAAAAAGTGTTCAATATGATGTACAGGTAAGTTATTTTATTTTGTTTTAAGATTTCTTCAAAAATTGACTTTTGTGTAATTAAATTCAATTCCCAATATATTTACAGGGTGCGTAACGTTTTTAAAAAGTGCTTAAAGGTGCTTTTTTCATTGAATGTTTTTAAAAAGTGCTTAATTTCCCCTTTTTCAAAATGAGATTTTTCCTTTACTATGCTGATTTTCGCTTCGAATTATGCAAAAGACACCGTTCACATTGTTCTATCACATTCACCGTTCACATTGTTCTAACGTTTTCACAATTAATTCAACAACATTTGACAATTGTCATAAACAATACCGAAAGAGTTTTTTTTTTTTTTTTTNTTTTTTTTGGACAAAATGTTAAAACAAGATAAAACCGTTAATTGTCAAAAACTTTCAAACCCTGCCTAATTATGATAATTTTTTAAAGTGCTTAAAAATATTTTTGAGTGCTTAAAAGGTGCTTATCTTTTTTTGAATAATTTGGCTATGCACCATGATTTAATTTTTAATTTGGTGTTATCGATATCATTTTCAACACTAGGGAGTACTGTAGGCTCACATTTCCGGTTTACTGTATCCAGTGTATTTTGAGGCCATTTGGTTTAGAGTTTGCTATTCTGACTATGCCCTAACACTAACATATGCACGGTGCACTGCAAACCATAATATATCAGTATGCATTGCCTGAGCATGTTTTAGCTTCAAAACTTCAAGAATGGCAAGAGTATTGTACAAATTGCTTGTAGTTTATTGTAAACAAAATAAAAATTCTCCTTCTTGCTATAACAATTAATACATTATAATATTCCTTTAACCTATTTATTTATTTCTAGGGAAAGTGCTTTGATGATTTTCAGTCGACATTGGCCAAAAGTAGATATTCTATTCAAGAGAGGTCTCTCTCGGTCTTTGATACAGTATTCTCATACTATGGGCAGTTATGTGAAAGGCTCAGAAGGCCTTTGTTCAGCTCTAGTCATGGCAACGTACGACCCATGGGGAGATTCTGTCATGCGCCAATTACTTAATAAGCAAGATGTTGACTTTAACAGAGGTAAAATATTTCTATACATACTGCTGTCTCATAATTAGGAATGCACTGAATGAATAATAATTGACTGAAGCTAAAATAATTCAGTTTATAATAGTAATCTTGTTGTTTGAGAAATTTTTTTCTTTTAAATTAGTAAGAACTAATCCTGATATTGTAATTAAATCAAGCTTATGAATAATCAGAACTTGACATAATTTAATTAATAATTTATCTAAACATGAGATTATTTAAGTAAAATAAATGTATTTAATATAGATATAACTAATATATGCTATATTTTTTATGGAAAATTCTTTTTTCTTCTGTTTTCTTGCTACTATCATTGCACGTTGTAAGAAAAAATTTAAAAAAAAGAAAGAAGAAAAAAGAGATTTATTAATGATAATAAAAAAAAAAACATTATACAGTCAAACCCCAATATAGTTAAAATTTCAAGGGACCGAAATTAAGGTTCACGTAACCGGGAGTTCATTATATCCGTTCCGTAAACAATTTTAACTAATGGGTCCAAACCCCTCCCTTTTATTACACATCATTTAAATAAATGACCAATAGAAAGAAATACAAAAATGACTGAAAAATAATATGTAGTAAAAAAAAAGTGTGTTGACTTATTTTTAATTTTTATTACACTTTGTCTTGCGTACAAAAAAAATTTAGAAATCTTTAGCTGATGAGAAGCTGATTCAAGGAAAAATTTGTCCATACTTCTGTCGAAGGACCAAAATGTTTCCATCACTTTCGGCACTATATTTTGCGTGCACAAGAATTTGTTTAGTACTTTAATTGCTGTTTTGGCTGGCGTCCATCATGGTGGGAAAAAATGCTTATCGCTACATTCCACTCTATAGATGATTTTAAAAATCGGCATATGTATTTATTTTGAAGTAGAAATTTCAAAATTATTACAAAAAAATGAAGAAAATAATCAGCCGAAGACAGAAAAAAGTTCCTAATATCCTACTTCCTCACTTTTTTGGTTCACTATATCCACAAAAAATAACTTTATGCATGTGTAGAATGACACGGGAATTTTATTCACAAACATTTTATTCACTATATCCGGGAGTTCACTATATTCAGGGGTCTGTCCAGGCCGAATTTACTACCGTTTAGCGGTACCTTCACAAATTCAGTTTTAGTTAAAACGGTAGTTTCACAAATTCAACTTTAGGAAAAACGGTAGTTTCACAAAAAACTTTTTCTTAAAATTTTGTTTTTGTATCCCTTAAGAAACATTAAATCTATATTTTTACCATGTTTTTGTGTTGATTTTTTAATATAATTTTTAATTTTTCACAAATTATGTCTAAATTTTCACAAAATAGGTACCTTTCAGAAAAACCTAGACAGACCCCTGATATTATATTAAATTTTGACTGTATTATATTAAATTTTGATAGTCTTGTATAAAATATTCTGCAGTTGTTGACTAACTCATGTCATGCTGTACAAATTATTTGGTAACTAAATAGATAAGAAAAAGATTATTTGGCAAGCAAAATATTCAGTGCAACTATACTCAGAATGAGAATGACATATTTTTTAATAGCTTTATTTTGAAATCCTGTTCTTTTTGCTTACAGTTAAAGATTTTGTAAAATCTGAGCCATATGAACTACTACTTATTAGAGTCGAATGTCTAGTCAATTCTCGTTGTGAAGAAGCTGCCATAAGACTTTGTCGCAGTTGTTTACATTGTTATGAGACTTTAAATAATGAAACCTACTTAGAATGTGATAGAGAAAACTGGAAACTATCCTTCATGGAATGGCTGCTTCGTTTATTGTTTAGAAAAAGAAGATTAAATGATTTAGTTCAAGAAGTAAGATTTTTTTAGAATGTTATCTCTATAAATGCATAATTTTTATTCACTAATTGTTTAAGTTTAAAAATTAATAAATTTTTGATACTTATTTAAAACTTATTATGATGATGATCTATTATTATTATTATCAAATAGGGCCTTATAATCTGTCCTCAGAAAAAAAATTAAAGGTTCCATAAATTTCCTACAAAGTTGTTAGTTTTTTTGTTTTGTTTTTCAATTATTATCTCAATACAATTATTATTATAATGTGTGAATATATATTTTGTTTTGTTTTTCAATTATAATCTTTTTTATCACCATATGTATATTTCAAAAATTTTAGTGGTTACTAAAATTTATTTGAAAAATTTGCTAAGAGAATAATTATATTGTTACTTTGATTTTCTGAAAAATTCTTAATTAATTTTTTTCTCTAAGTACATATAAAAACAATTGTATTGATATTTTTTATATACTAAGTTATACTGAGATTGAAAAAAAAAAAAAAATTAAGATGGTATAAAACATCACTGTATAGAACCAGGAATGAAAGTTGTTTTCTAGCTTTTATATTTCAATGCTAAGTTTTAAATAAAGTTTATGATGTTGAATTTGATTTTGATTGATTTAATTCAATAATTTTTGAGAAGGAAAATTTTTTATCACAAAAGGGAAGGGAATTGCTATACAGATATGAAAACCTATGTGTAATCATATCAATATTATTGCAAGACTTTATTAATTTATTACTCAAATTAGGGACATGTGTCTCTTTGTTTATACTGAATTATCTTCTGCTATTTTGTAATATAACAGTATCTTGATATAGCCAATATAAATCAGCTAATAAGTTTTTGAAGAAAAGAAATATGTCAATGGAAATGGAATATAATATGAAATTACTGCAAATATGTGTTTCTTAATTTGAATAAAAAACTATAGTAGATATTTTATTTTATTATTAATTCTATTAATTAATATTTTTAAGTTATAACTGTGCACATCCAATTAAGAATATATTTTATAGGCTATAAATTTTCAACAAAATGCAGTTAGTAGCATTGCATTCGTAGTGTCTTAAATAGTACGGAACTATTTACTTTTTAAATTTTTTATTTGTTTATTTTCTGTTGACTATGATGCTAAAAAGGGCCTCTAAAATCACATAAAAACTAATATTCTGACTATGGAACAGAAAACTGTGTGTAAGTTACAAAAGATTCAAGATTAATATTTTTATATCTTTGCATTTTTGAAACTAAAAGCTACTTATAGCAACACGAAAATATAATATTATTATTCACTTTCTGTAATTTTATTCCAACGTTGATTATATTAGTTGGAAAGACGCTTTTTTCAGGATCTATCCTGAAATACTTATCATTGCACAAATTTTTAAGCTTATAAAATCTTACTCTAAATGTACTGAAAGCTGTTGATATTGTTTCAATTTTTCATGAGTTCTTTTCTTTTAGATATCATCTTGCAATTGTCATGAGGGAGTAAGGATTATTTATCGCACCCTCAATTCTAACAGTGAAGATTCTGAGGCGCTGACTGAAAGTTTGATAAATTTGTTCCTTGTTCGTGATCTTCTTTTCCAATCAAATTATTGCTGCACTAGTGTGAGTTCTTTTTCAATACCTCCGTTTTTTTAATCAAAAATGAATACATTTTATTTGTTATTAATTTTTTTTCCTTAAGTCTTTTTTTTTCTTTTCTGTATAACATACCAAGATTTAGATTCATATGAAGTCATTGATTACAAGGTGCGGCAAAAAAAATTCGAATAAGGTTATTACATCATAGAATAGAAGTTAACTAATTTCTTTTGTGTGTTCATTCTTTTTTGTCTACTACTTTAATTATAAAATATTAATCTCTTAGTCTACATATGGTTTTGGTTTTTTACCGAGTCAAACAAAAAAATATGCTATTTTAATGTTGTTTAAGCCAGGAAAACAATGGTGTCAAATTGTTCATTTCCTCTGTACGCAGTCATTGTACAATGCGCCGAAAAAGGTCCACTCTGAATAACTTTTGATCTAATGATCGAATCTTCATGTTCTAGGATTCAATCTTAATGGTTTGAGGAGGTGACCTCAAATATGCTAAAAATTACGTACAGGCAACATTCTAAGTTAGAAAAATCAGACTCAAAAGCGTACATTCTCTGATTAAACATGCCATTTTTTCGACGGATTCAGATTTCTGACCCCAAAAATATACAGGTTAGCAACAATCTGCGAAATATGGTCCCTATAGTTTGATCTGGGGGGGGGGGCGATTCAAAGTTGGAACCCCTTAATGTTAATTTCATTTCACCATATCTTTGCATATTTTGCCATACTTCGAGATTTTTTTTAAGTGAATCGATAAAATTTTTTATAAAATTTGAAGTACTATTATAAAAAAATTTTATATGAACATAATTCCATGCAAAAAGTAAATTTTAGTAAGTATTTATTAATTTTTAAATATTTTATTTAATAACAGGCAAAAACTTTTTGAATTGTAAGGTATTAAATTTTTTATGTCATTTTAAAATATGTAGTTTTACATGGCAAATTATAAAATTTGTGCGAAATTGTACAAATAGTTCCTGAGAAATTGAATTTTAAATATTTGAATTCTTTCAAATTCGATTTCTCAATAATTATTCAACTGATATTGCTAAAATTCTGTAATTCTGTATATTCTGCCATGCAAAATTATATGCTTTAGAAATATGTAAAAAATTGTATACCCTATAATTAAAAATTTTTTGACTAATATTAATTAAAGTGCTAAATATTTACTAAAATTTATTTTTTCATGGAGTTATCTTTGGATAAATGAATTTTATAATTGTGTGCACTAATTTTTCAATTCGCTTAAAAAGCTCTCGATATATGGGGGACACATAAAGTTAAACTAACAAAACATTAAGGGGTCCAAACTTCAGATCGCTCTCCTAACCAAACTATGGAGACCATATTTCCCAGATTTGGATTCTCCCCTATAATTTGGAAGTCAAAAATCCAAATCCGCTAAAAAAGAGGTATACAGAGAAAGTAAGTTTTTGTGTCTGATTTCATAACTTAAAATATCGTCTGCACTAGTTAATTAGCATATTTGAGGTCACCCCCTCGAACCACTGAGATTGAGTCTCAGAACATGAAGATCTGGTTATTAGATCAAAAGTTGTTCCAGGTGGCTCTTTTTTGGTGCACTGTACACTCAAATTTGGACTCTCTAAAACAATCACTTTAGCAAGATTGAGAAAGATTAAAAGTGTAAAACTTTCAGCCTATTGCTGAAAATTTGAAATCACGTTTGTGCATCTGCATTTCTGCAAAATACTGCCACTTCGAGTATTATTTATTAGTAAAAATCTACTCTTGATATTATATTTTTTTAATTTATTTATTTTTAATAAAGTTGTATTAAAAATTGCGGGTATGATTTTTTGCTGCACTCTACTCTACATTTGCTTAAAGCATCTTTGTTTTAAATAAATTATTTTTAAATTAACAATTATCTATTTTAACTAAATGAAATTTAAGACATTTTCAATACCACTTTCTTTTAATCTAATAAAATCAGCACATTTGCTTTTTTTATGAATTTTTTTCCTTTAAAATTATTTTTCACTTAGGTTAAAATACATGGATATCATGGATTCCTACTAATGATTAATTACTTAAAAATATTTGTTTCAAATAACTTTCTTTTAAATTAACAATTATCTGTCAAATCCTTTTAGAGCTAATCAAAAAATCTTTGCCACTTATTTTCAATATTTAAAAAGAGAAAAAAATTAGGCACATTTGATTTATTAATCCCATTTTTTCTTTTAAAATTATTTTTCCCTTTTGTATAAAATAGTAATATTTAGGTTCTTATAAATTCAATGATTATTTACTTAAATCTTTGTTTTAAATAAACAATTATCTTTTTTAACTTAATTAAATAATTTCATAGGTCTTGTGGATCAAACATGTTTTATACATTATTGAGATAAATAAGTAAAAATAGAAAAAGATCTAACTTCTTTCAGAATTAGTGTTTTAAAAATGTAGGAAAGCAAAGTTCATTCTAATTCGCAAAACAAATTTGGTACAGACAAAGCATAAAATTAAACAGTCATCTTTTTTTTTAACTTGCAAAAATTTTTTAGATTTTGTGGGTCAAACATGTTTTATGCGTTATTGTACTAAATAAATAAAATTTAACAAAAGATCCAACTTCTTTCAGAATTAGTGTTTCAAAAAAGTAGGAAAGCAAAGTTCAAATTCACAAAACAAATTTTGCTCTGACAAAGCACAAAATTAGTATTTTAATAAAATTAGATGAACAATTATTGTCGATAAATTGCTTTAATACAGTGAAACCCCTATTTTACTTTTTCTGTCGGACTAGCTATAAAAAACGCTCAAAGCGGAATAATGTTAAATCGGGGTTAAGAAAAATTTATGCATATTTTTAAAAATTGACACCTACCAGTTAAATTAATGGAAAAAATGAGTAATCTTTACTTGATTTTCATCTCTAGCTACAATTTCGTATACAGCTAGTTCAATATTAACAATTTTTTGCAAATTTGCTTCTTGATTTACATTTGCAAGTAAAATTTGTTTTAGAGTTTTTATGCTTTGTATCGCTTGATCAGCTAGCTGTTGGCACGTCTTCTGCTATTTCATAGTCATCAGCACTATCGCCGGGCATTAAATCACTTATGAAAGGGATTTCTGCCTGACTGTGACACAGATATCATTACTCCAAAGTAAAGATATCTGTGTCACAGTCGATGTATGCATCATCGACTTCCGGAAGGTCCTCAACTTCAGACACACTACCTTCTTCTTCTTCCAAAACAACAGCGCTCTCCTCCTCCGATATTAAAAATCCTGCTTTATTGAATCCAGTAATGATGCACTTTCGGTCGACACTGTCCCAAGCTGAAGATATCAAATTAAGAGCCTCAAGAACATTAATTTTTGCCTTAGAAGCATCCTGAAAGTCACCAGAATCAAGAAACATTGGAGATTTTCTAACCAGTTGCTTCCGGCAACTCTTTTTAAATGATCGTATAATTCCTAAATCCAGTGGTTGAAGTTTGCTCATACAGTTAGCTGGAAAAAACTCTATTCGCACGTTTTTCAATTTAAGGTTTAAATGAGCAGTGCATTGGTCTAGGAATAAAATTATGTTGCGCTTTTGAAAATTCATTTTCTTATCCAGTTTTCGAAGAAAATTTTTAAATAATGCTTGCTTCATCCATGCTTTTTTGTTTGAAGTGTAATCGGTAGGAAAACTTTTGATATTTTTGAAACACCGTGGTTTCTCTGCTCTACCGATCACAAGAGGCGTTAACTTTTGGCTTCCATCGGCATTTGCACAGAGCAAAACAGTAAAGCCCATTTTTGAAAGCTTTCCTCCATGGCAATTTTCACCTTTAATTGTCAATGTCTTGTTTGGCAATAGGTTGAAAATCAATCCCGTTTCGTCCGCATTAAATATGTCACTTGGATTATAGCCCTTTAATAAATTTGGCAGAGTTTCTTCTTTCCACTGTTACACAATTGTCATATCCACACTATCGGATTCGCAACAGATAGATTTGAAGCATAAATTGTTCCTTTTTTTTTAATCGATCGATCCAGCCATTTGATGCACTGAAGCCTTGGAGTTTAAGCCTTTCAGCAATTTCAAGCGCCTTTTCTCTCAGGATGGATCCATTTATAGGAATCTTTGCTGCTCTGGCTTCCTTGAACCAGTTCATTAAAATGTTTTCTAACTCATCATACGGAGATGTTTTAAGGGTTTTTCTCTTCTTGGCATATTTTCTGAGTTTTTCAGAGTTTAGTTTTACTGAAGCTTCTGCTTTAAAATCATTTGCAAAGTTGAATAAGCAATACCCAAAGATTTAGCAAGATCAAATTTAGTGCCATGAAATTCTTTAGCTTTTTCGATGATTTCAGCCTTTCCGGCCAGAGAAAAGCATTTTCGTTTCGACATCTTTTTTCGAGAAAAGAACATGATGACTGAGGTTTCGAAAATGAGAAAAAATGCTATAGCTTTCAAACTCAAACAAAACCGACTGAAAATCTCATTTGGTATGCTAGCACAGAAAAATGAGTAAAACCATTTCGAATAGAATTTTTAAAAAAATTTTGATCTGTTTGTAGAAAAACGCATCAAGCGGGATTTTTATAAAAGGGGTAATGCAAAATCCGGAATTTTTTAACATTATCGGTATAGGCTATTATCACGGATCAGCAGAAAATTACGTAAGAAGCGGGATAACATACGAAACGGACAACGTAAAATCGGGGTTCCACTGTATTACTCAGAGCCTCATTTTACTGAAAATGCTAATCCATACTCCAAAAGAATTATTTGGAATTCAGGGTTCCCTTTCCTATTTGTTGACTGTATTAATTATTGATCTTAAAATGTGTATCAAATTACATTATTGCTTTTCCTTGATGCAGATCTGTCTTAAATTAAAAGCCATCTTGTTCAAATATGCTTGTTGAAAATTCTTTGTTTTGTTTATCAATCGATAGAATAATTATGCATATTAATAGATGGAAAAAGAAGTTGAAAATTCATTTTTTAAATAGGGCCCCACTTTTAGTTAAAAAAGACCCGGAAATGTGGAAGTTCTGGGTCCTAAGTTAATTGTCAATGTCAGTTCCTACAGCAAAAAGTGTTCAATACTGTGACATACTTCACAGAACAATTTACATTCACTTCCCTGCAGAACAATTCATGTCCAAGTAGCTGTAAAAATTTTATATATGATTGATTGTTTTTGTTTCATTATGTAGCATTTTTATAAAAATGATTTATTTAACTAATAATGATTCCTTTTTTGAAAAAAAAAAAATTTCTCCATAAAACAAAATTATTTATCTTTTTTTTTTTAACTGTTGAGAATTGTTTAGTTTTGACCATGCCTACTAAACATTTGTAATTTTCTAAAGCCATGTTGCAGAACATAAATAAAATTCTGCTCCTATGTTGTCTGCTAATTCTATTTTGTTTATATATTTGCTTATTTAAATAATTTATAACTAGCATGTCGTAAATAAAGTACCTAATTACCAACTAGTTAATAATTTATTGCTTTTTTGCAGGAATTGATGAATTTGTGGTGTGAGTTACAAGCTAAGAAACAAAAGCCTTTGTTAGAAATTCAAGAAGCTGCACGCAAGCTTTTGGTTGGTCATGCATCATCTAGTGCACAGTTTTATCTATTTGTCGACATTCTTTGGTCAAAGGTATTATTTATGTGTATATTTGGCAGCTAAACAGATATTTATTTTGTTTTAAATGATTCACAAGCAAAATCTATAAACAGCAACTGAAAAAAAAAAAAAAATTAAGCCTACTGTAAATGACTTTATATCTCCTGAACTCTATATCTTTAGCAATGCACAATGCAAAGGTATTTGTAAAGCTTTCAAACACTATATGAAAACTGTGTAATGTTTTTAATTTTTATTTTCTCATTGTAGTGGAAAATGTTGTTTTAATTAAAACAAATTCAACTTACTAAATAGTCCTTAATGTTGATCATAACTATATAAGGTATTTGTAAAGCTTTTAAACACTATATGAAAACTGTGTAATGTTTTTAATTTTTATTTTCTCATTGTAGTGGAAAATGTTGTTTTAATTAAAATAAATTCAACTTACTAAATAGTCCTAATCATAACTATCAAATCAAAATTTATACTATCATCTTTCTTAGAAATATGTTTCTTTACTATAAAAGACAGTTTATTTTCGAATCAAGCAAACTTTGATCACTGACATTTTTTATTTTGATGAAATTTTTGATATGCCGATCTTATTGCTTTAAACATTTTATCATATCAGTGTTATTAATTAAGTGACATTTCTTTTATTTTAGCTTGTTTGTTTTAATTAGTTTAATCTTTTTTTTTTGTCTGATTTATTGCTTATTGCTCAACAAACCCTAACTTAAACAATCAATTTATGACTTGTACAAAACTTGTTTTTACTTTTATATTAGTACCTTTTAAAAAGTTGTTCAAAATTTTTAGAAAATTAGATACCATAAAATACTAAATATCGCCCCCTGAAATTTTGACAAAAAACATGCATTTTTGTCAGCAAGTGGTTAAATGGTACCGATTGTAAAGTACAGACTCTACTCTGTAAAATGTATGTATGATATGATGTATGTCAAAAATATTAGGAAACTTAATAATACAAAGTGTAAACAATGTATAAAACAAAATAATTAAATATCTATAAATGTAACTACAACAATTGTTTTCTAAAATACATTTTACTTCTACTTTTAATAACCACATATTTTATCTATTTGTTTCAAGAAAAATGCCGGCATGATCGTAACTTGTACAATCTATGAGTAATAATAAATTAAAATAGACGAAAATTTAGTATCAAACACCCCAAATTGATTACAAATTCACTACAAAATTTAATTGGAATGAATGTAAAAAATAATGTCTTAAACACTGATCAACAAGATCGTCGGTTTTCTGGTTTGTGCCATTTTTGTCACAAGCCGGGAGTTTAAGAAGTTATCTTCGCTTTCCCTAAAACGGAAGTAAAACTATGAAACTTTACGATAAACCAGTTTTTTCTCATCTCCTTGAATAATTCTGGAAAAGCAAACAAGTCCTTTCTACTGTTTCTTCGCCTATCCTTTTATTTCCTGTCCTTGTCTCTTGTGTAATTAACCTGGAATAAAAGTCATCTTTGTTTGTTTTTTTTAAAAGTACACACCTTCTTGTTAAACTAGTTAATAATAAACTTAAATAATTCTTCGAAAGCAAAGCTCTTACTCTATTTTCTACTATTTATTCTCCCAAAATCTTTTTCCTTCCCTATTTCACCCTTTCTGTTTAGATGTTATTATCTTGTGAGGCAATTTTTAAATTTCATCTTAACAGAGTTGTGATAAAAATAAAGAAATTCTGATCGCAAAAAGGAGGAGTGGAGATGACGTATATTTTTTATTGGACACTTGCCCAAATGTGTAAAAAAATGTGTGGGCCACTTACTCATTATAATTAGGTAATCAAGTTTAGTTTTTTGCGTGTTGAAAATTAAAATTTAATCTTTTCCCAAATCAAATGATTTCACAATTATAGCTTTCAATATACGGTGAAACCCCGAATTTGCATTTTCCGTCAGACTAGTGTTGAATAACGCACAAAGTGGGATGATGTTAAAATAAATGTGTGAATATATATATGCATGCATGCATATATATATTTGAAAAATTCACCCTCACGAAATTTACATTCATTCTGACAAGATGGATCCGGGAGAATTTAATATTATCGATATAAGCGATTTTCACAGGCCAGCGGAAAATGATGTAGGAAGCGGAATAACGTACGAAATGGACTACTCAAAACCGAGATTCCACTGTATTAAATTAAAGTTCCATTCTCGACATTGTCACCATACAAAATTAAATAATTAAATCACCCTTTTGTTTCAGCAGTACGGTCGATATATTGGTTGCTCATATTAAGTTCTGTTTATCCAGAATTTTTATTCGTATGGTTTTTATTATTATTTTTAAGAAATAAACTATTAAATTCAAAGATTTTGACAGAGAATACTTAAAGAAATATGACTCTTTTAAAAAGCTGATAATTCATTTTTAGAAATAAAGCAAAATGTTTGTTTTGAAACATTTCTTATTTTTTATTCTTAAATCTTACTTATTTTTTCCCTACATATTTCATTGTTTATAAGTATTATCATTTCTTACAGTTTGGAATATCTCTACTACCATTATATCTTGAGCTGTACGTGAGAGGTTTGACATCAGATTTGAATTTTCTGGAAGCAGCTCGGCAGACTGATAAAAAGGAATATGTGATGGATCTTGAGAAACACATGGCAACTGTGTATTTTAAACTATCCTCCCTATTCAATTCCATCAACAAGGAGGTGTCACTTGAATGTCTTCTTAGTTCTTTTTCTCTTAATCCAAGTCCTGAGGTTTTAAATTGCATTAAGAAAACTACCTTACAAGTTACCAAAGAAAGAGCTATAAGAAGTTCCAGGAATCCAGCTGACATCAAACATACCCATAGTCGAAATTGTGCATTTCCTCCTCCCACAAAACGAAAGGCTGTAGAGACGTGTGATCAAGCTATACAAGTTGGAGATGATTTCTTTGTGGAATGTGATAATGCTCTGAAAGTAGCGAATAATCCAACCCAGAATGATCCTATTGTTCTTGAAAACATTAGGCACGAAAGAAAAAAGTTAGCCACTGAAATCACAGTTTTAAGTCCTAGTATAAAGAACAAAAATTCAGAAGAGGTACTGGCAAGCCAGTCACAGTTACCAAATAATAGTACAGAGCCTAACTCAGCACTAGAAAATTCCTCATCTGTGACCAAAGAAAAAACACCAATAAAAATTTTTGAAAACAAAAAACAGACCCTTAAATCTTCTAGAAAGTCCAAAATTTGTAATATCCAGAATGAAGTAACTAGTAAAGAAAATTCTAATAAAGATGGGACTACATTAAATAAAGAGGTGTTGCCAAATTCTAATGAAAATATCTCAGGTAGTGCAAATGCTCCTACAAACTGTAATGAAATGACTTCTGAAACAACTGCGAAGTGTGAGATCGAAAGTGATTGTCGCAAAGTGGCTGAAAATCAAGATGTAATCTCCTCTGTCCAACCTCTCTCATTGGTTAATCATTCAACAAATGAACATCTCACTAATGGCTTGAGTAACGAAAGTGATGTAATAAATTGCAAAGAAGAGGTTGAATGCTCTTCTCCGGATAAAGAAGAAATTAAAAATAGTTCACCGAAGGACATTGTGGTTGTGGAAAATAAAGTGCAGCTAAAAACAAATATTAATATTCAACAGGAAAATGAAAAACCTAATTCTCACCAGGAAAAAATTTCTAATGATACACATTGTACAAATGGTTTTAATGAGGCTGAAACTCCTTCCATAAACAATGATGCAAAAATAACTAATTGTAAAGAATTAAATTTAATCAATGATACAGTAAATCAAGAACCAGATCAAAATTTAATTCCTAATAAATCAGACTGTGCTGATGGGTTAAATACTCCTTATAATTCTCAAATAGCAGTTATTAATAATTTAGTTCAGAAAACTGCCAATAATTGTATTAATGAAAACAGAGTAACTAGAAGGTCAGAATTATTAAAAAGTCAAAGCTCTGTTCGTTCTTTCTCTCATGTAATACTAGATTGTGATGTGCCCGGCTTATCCTCTGATCTGTTATCAGATTTTGTTACTGTCCTCGAAAGTTTGAGAAATAAGCAGTTGAAGAGTTCCAGCAAATGGAGTCAAATTAAGCATTTATGTGAAGATTACATGGAAACTGTTAATGAGCAGAGGTGTATGATGTTTAATTTTCACGCCAATGGCAGTGTTGATAGTGAAGCGGATTCTACCTCAGAATTAACGGCAAATGGTTTTGATTTCGAACATTATCAAAGCAGCGACAGTGTCAAAGAAGATCGTGTTGTAGATAAAAGTCATGTTTTCAGACGTTTCTTCAACTCTGACAAAATGGCGGAAATGGCAACATATGTAACTTTATCTGACATACATTTTCCTCAAATACCTCTTGAAAAACTTTTTTACACTGAATATTCTTCATCTCATGTAGGACATAAAAAAAGACACAAGAAACATCGGAACCATGACAAAAATCCCAAAAAGCAAGTTCTCCACAAACTTCGACATGGAAGCAGAACTGAACATGATCTTGTAAAGCGAAAGAAAAGAAAGAAACGTAAAGCAAAGAGAGGTAAGGGACATGTGAAAAAACATCATTCTACCCACGGAAAGGTTAACAAAATACATTCTAAGAATAAGAGGAAGAAGCATAAGCTGAAGAAAAAGAAAGAAGGTAATTCTGGTTTCATATCTGGAGATTACTGTAGTGACTTTAGCTCTGAAGAACTTATGAGAATAGTTAAAGAACATTCCAACAGTTATTCAAAAATTCCAGCATCTACCTCAAAACATCCTCATATAGTTGAAACTGCTAGTTCCTCAGAGTCGGAGCCTGTTAGGAAGAAACGAAAAGTTAGCTTTGATAAAAAGAGGGGTAAGGTTGAGAAGTATAGAGAAAAACATAAACATGAAAAATCCAACAAACATAAAAAGAAAATAACTCTGGAAAGTTGCAAAACTAGTGTGACAAATGTCATCCATGATAATCCAATACCGAACAATATGGAGGGTGTAAAAGAATATCCTCATTTCGTTCAAATTTCTAGAGTAAAGAAAATGGAGTCTGTACAAATTCAGCAGAGATCTGTGTCAGTAGTTGATGATTCTACTAACGACACTTCTCCAATAACCACATGTGATACAAATCCTCGTATTAAACAGTACGTTCAACAAAAATTCGAAAACTGTTCTCCAGAAGAATTAATGAAAATGCAAATACTAATGGCAAGGCAACAGGCAGAAGTTACTGCTGGCAACAGTACTATGTCAACCAATCAGGCATTACGGAAATATGTATGTTCTAAAATGACTTCTCAGCTTCTTTCTGTTTCTCAGTCATCAAAATGTATTGTAGGTTCAGATTCCGATACCAGCAAATCTCCAACACCTCACTTTGTTGACAACAATTCTAAAGCAGGACCTTCTCAATCTCGAGACCATCCGCAAAAAATATCTGCTAACATTAAGCATTTTGTGATTGAAACAAATAAAACACCATACAAGTTTCCAAATTCTAATGTTTCAACAACAGTCAGTAGTAGTATTATACCTATAAATATTTCAGGAAATTCTTATTCTGATGCTCAAAATTTAATTGGATCCATGCTTAATTCTAATATCAGATGTCCAACCTCGCAAATATCCCCACAAGTAACAGCTCTCAGTATTCCAGTTTCTCATAATCATCCTTCTGGCAGTAAACTAGTTACTAGTAAAATCATAATACCTCTACCCTCTAGTGGTCAGTTGCATAGTGGAACTGTCTCATCTAATCTGAGTGTTATTCAACCTGACACTTCATTTGCCACAACATCAGGAACATCATCACATTCTAGTTTTATAGTTATTAAAAATGGTAACCAAACACAAATCATTCCAAATCCTCAAAATCAATATAACATTATTCCTCATATTGCAAAAGCTAATGCATCATTGACTACTACAACTAAAATCAGCCCAACTGTATGCCAAACAAATCTAAAAATGATTAAACCAGCAGTACCAAAAAAATCATTTCAATCGGTAGCTAAAAGACAACTTATCAAAAATCCTGCACCAATAAAACCACTCACTGCACCCAAAGTTTCAAGTGTAGCTAAACCCATCCCTAAAGTAATTGCTTTGACCGCTCCTTCCTCCCCAGTTCTTACAACAAAGGTATCTGATGCTGTTATTAGTTCTGTTTCTTTACCTGAGGCTGAAATGCAAAATTCTCTAAAAGTGCCCTTACCTTTACCCTTGCCGACACTTTCTACAAAAGCAATTGAAGAAAAGCCTGAAATGGAAATACCTCCACACTCAGAAAGTAATAAAACAGACTGTGGAATCTTAAAACTTGACATTCATGTTCCAGCATCCTCTGATGCAGCCAGTTCAAGCAAACCAAATGAAGTTGCATTGATTGCCGAAACTAACAACTCAATTGTGTCTGAACCAGTTGAGAAAACTAAACAAATAATTTCTGAAGAGAAGCAAATGACTGAAAATAATACTGGTTTAGATTTGCTCTCAGTTGCAGAGGAACCTTCCATTACAAATAGTTTTCCACCTGATGTTCAAAAACTAAGTTCAATTGAAGACGCTGAAAAAGATTCAGTGCCTCCTCAAGTAAAATCTGTAACTGATAAGTCGGATGAAGCATTAAAAGAAGAAAGATTTATTGATAAAGACGTAAAGATTTCATCAAAAGCAGATACTAAAACTGAAGAACTTTCCGTAAAATCTGATGATATTGATGTTTCCAAGTCTATACCGTTACATACAGAAGCTGCCACAGTTGCTGTAGATAATAATGCAGAAATTAAACCATCTGATTCTACTGCTGAATGTTCTCTTGTAAGAGACTTTAAATCTAGCGAGAACAAATCAACTCCAGTTGCTGAGCCAATAAGTCCCAAACCTTCTCCAATCACAGTAGATCAAGAAGCATTGGTAGAACATTCTCCTGACTCTAAAGAAAGTAACTCTTCTTCAAAATCTGTCCTAAATCAAAACAACCAACAAAAACAGCTGCAGCCTATCAATTCTGTTAGCATCATGGCTAGCATGAAGACACCTGGAAAAGCTCATTCCCAGTGCAAAGCTGAGGGTATGGTTGTCTCAGAAGTGCAAACAAGATCTTTTACATCAATCAGTGATGCTGTGCGATTCAGTTTAATGGATATGGACGATGCAACAGATTCAGTTGAAAACCAGGTACTGTATTGATTTTATATTCTTTCAGTAAAACTTCACTCTTTTTATATCTAGTCATGTGTATTTTCTAATTACAATCAGAATCAAAACTGAAAAAGAAACTCTATGATTTTGATATTTAACCACATAAAGTAAAATAAAAATGTTAAAATAATAATTAAAGCTTTAAAATAGTTATATGCTGCTCTGTTAATGGTACATATCTTAGAATTACCAATTCTGACGAATTTATTTAAATTGGTACTCAAATTTATAATAGTACACATTTTGCAATATATAATCAATATGAATTTTTAAATTTTGCTGTAACAAACAACTCTAAAAAAACTTTTAAGTGTAATTGAAAGAAATAGGTACGAAGAATATTAGTTAACATGCTAAACCTTTGTCACAGAATTTTTATTAAACATATTTTTCATGCATTTTTCACTATTTTGTATTAATTTAGGACAAAATAAAGGGGAAATATATTTAGCATTCTAATAGTTTATGGTTATGAATTAGAGCATGAGTGAGACCACTGGTGCCTTTTTCTGCATAAAAGTTTAAATCTTCCAAACACGGCTCACTTCCAAACAATAATTTTTCTAATTTGCAGTTATTTATATCTAAGAAAAACTGTTACTCATCATTGAAATTTCTTTGCTTTACAAAATCAATAATTATATTAATTGATCTTATTGATGTATAATATAATTGATTGATTATATTAATTATATTAATCTATTAATTGATAAATTTTTGATTATGAATGATGAAAAAAAAATTTCCAAACTAGGTACTTTTTTATATTTATATATACAGTCAAACCCCACTATAGTGAACGAAATTTTCGGTCCCGTGCCTTGCTATACACGTACAATGTTATTTTTTGTGGATATAGTGAACCAAAAAAGTGAGGAAGTTGGATATAATGAACATTTTTATGTTTTCGACTGATTTTTTTTCTTCATTTTTTTGTAATAATTTTCAAATTTCTACTTCAAAATAAATACATATACCGATTTTTAAAACCATCTATAGAGGGGAATTGAGCGATAAGCATTTTTTCTTGTTTGCTTCTTTTATCTCACTCACCTATCCCTAAACAAACCTAGCAGATGTTTCCAACCCAGGCAAATGATGCACCTGTAAGGTGTCAGTGGGATTAATATGCACTTTTTGTCAGAGGGAATGAGTAATTATTCATTATTGGTCAAAGGGTTGGACACTAATATGTGTTGTTAAGGCCCTCATTTCAACTCCTTTTTGCTTTCAGTTCAGACAAAAAATCTCCTGCAAACAAGTGTCTCAAATTTAACTATGGCTAGCAGTAAACGTAAAACGTTCTCGATTGATGATAAAATGGGCAGAATCAGAAAAAATGAATGCAATCAAGCTGATATTTGCAGGGAATATAAACTATACAAATCTGCAGTTTGTAACATGTGGAAAAATAGGCTATTAATAATTTCTGCTCATGAAAAAATTTAGATGGCAGAAAAAAAGTTCAGAAAAGCAGATCACAAGAATGTTGAAGAAACATTACTGAAGTGGTTCACCATTCGAAGAAGCAGCAACCTTCCAATATCTGGACAAATGCCGATGAATTTGCTAAGCGATTTTATGAGAATACTTTTATGTTCTCGAATAGCAAGTTAGGCAGGTTTAAAAAGCGGAATAACAGAAATTCAGGAAAAATTATTTGAGAATTGGGAAGTGTTCACAAGACGAAGAGTAATGAAAAATAAATGTTTTGCTACTACATAATATTTTTCAGTAATTTATTTGAATAGTGTATAATAAAAGGAGGAGATTGGGAACCATTAGTTAAATTGCCTACGTAACGGATATAGTAAACTCCCAGTTATAGTGAACCAAAATTTCGGTCCCTTGAAGGTTCACTATAGCGGGGTTTGACTGTATATATTTTAGTACAAATATAATTCCAATAATCTAACAGATTTTTTTAGTAACTATTAGATTCTTTTTATTATTAAAAAAAGCAAAATATATTATTACTTGTAATTAGAGCGCCAGAAAAATTTATAAAAGAGACAGAGAAGTCCAATCTGCATCAAAGTGTTAAAATTGATATAGGTAATTTATGTCTTAACAAAACTTTTGGTAGATTTTAAGATTATGGTATGTTCCTTACTGGAGAAAAAGGTTAGTCATATTTTAAAATTATTATGATTTTAGTGCAAATTATTAATTTTATTCTTACTAAAATTTGTATTGTAATTTCATTTTGTCTTTCGGCAGTTTTCTGTGTTTGTATTCTCTAACTAATATTATTTTACAGAATAAAATATTGTTTTACTTTTTAACACCTTTTCTTCTTCTGTCTTCCGAAAACTAACTATTAATGAGTCAAATATGATATAGGTTACTGTCAAATTTGCATGCATTCAGATGAATTTTAATATATTTTCCCATGGTTCAAGCATCATAAATGCAATTTCACAGTTGTGAAAAATTCAAATCTCTTAGTCTCTTCATTCTTTTGCTCTTTTGATTTATTGATAATATTGGCAGCATGGGTCATGTTTCACAATATCTTAGTTTCTCAATTTCAACATTTCTGTCATTTTAAGATTCAACTCCTTTTCTATGAAGGGTTTATCTCCAATTCAAGTATATCTTTGTTCATCCTGCATTGTTCTTTCTTCTGAAATAAGAAGCAAAATTTATTTGAAAAAAAATAATTTTCTTAATAAAGATATTTCCAGCCACACTTGTTATTTTTATAAGTAATGAGCTTTTTGCTTTCCTTTTGGATAGCAATTCGTAACTTATAGTTGAATAATAGTTTAATTTTTATTTTATAAATTTTTAATTTAGACTAATGCAAAAAGAGGAAAGAAAAAAGCAACTTATGCAGTTACAAGACGCCGCTTTTCCCAATTGTAAGTTAAGATTTAATTTTTGGAGTTAAGAATTATTACCTGATAACCTGTCAAGATTCTCAAATCAAGCTTTCTTCTCACTACTTCTCACCACCTATAACTATTCTGTGAAAAGGTAGAGCAGTTTCAAATTCTTCTTTCAAGCTACTGGTGCTGTCATGTGATTATAACCATGACTTACATATCTCAATGGACAGCTAGTCAAATTTTCATTTTGTAACCTAGTTAAGTATTAAATGAGCTTAAACCAAAGCTTAAATATTTTCCTCATAACGATCTTATCTTTTGCTCTATATACAAAAACTGGTTTTGAAGTGTTCAGAGATGCTTTCCCTTCATACACAAAGTAGAACTTGTTACGTATTCCGGTTGAATATCTTTACTGCTTCGGAAATCATCTTACTTATGAGTCAAACATTAAAATTCGAACGGTTAAGAGGCTCCACCCCATTCTCGTTGTGTATTAAAAATAAGCTATTTTATTTAAAAATAATCCATTGAAAAATATGTGATAATTTAATAATTGGGGTTAATAAATTTTTCACTAATGAAAGATTCTCAAAACGGCCTCTTTTTTTCACAACATGTCATCTTTAACTATTTTATGAAAAGATAGAACAGTTTTCAAGTTCTTTCATGAAGCTGTATGAGTCTCTCCTGTAAATATAATTACAGTAATGTTTTGCGTCATTAATTAGAAATTTTGTTTGAAAATAATTTTAAAAAATTATTATTTAATTTTGAAATTAACAAATTTTCTGCAAATAATCTGTTTAGATTCTCAAATTTAGCTTTCTTATCACTACATCTAAACTTCTTTAACTTATTCCATGAAAAGATAAAATAGTTTCAAATTCTTTCTTCAAATCACAAAAACTGCCTTATGGCTATAGCCATGACTGTATATAAATTTTTTACTTTGTCAATTAAACATTTTGTTTAAAATGCACCCTTTCAAAAATGCTTTATAAATGAAATTTTCTATTGTAAAAAAATTCAGCCATTCAATTTAACATACTTATAAATAATAATATTCTTGTACTTGTTTTAATAACTGGAAACAATCACAGCTATTCCTTTTAGGAATAATCTTATGTTTTCCATAGACCTTAAAATTTTTTTAGTTTTAAAACATATCTATTTTATTTGCTTTTGTGTATATCAATGTTCTTCCCTGTGTTAGAATTTTTCAGGCTTTCTGCATCAAAACTCTCTCTGCAAAATAACTTTTAATAATAACAAATATATATGTAATGAATTTTAAAGTAACAAAAGTGCTATGCTTACAAAAAGAAAAAAAAAACTATATATTTTTTATATATACAGTTTTTATTAAATTATATTTATAAATAGTACTATAAGAAACTTTTATTTTATATATAGTTAGTAATATATTAAACTATATATATTGTAATATTTTTTATTTAAATATTATGGGCGACATTCTCGCATTTTGATGGGGGGAGAAAGCACTAATTATTTATTTTTTCGTATTTTGTAAATCATCGTACAAATTCTTAGCAGTAACTACCAAAAAGAGATGGAGGACTAAATCTCGCTAAACACAATTAAATTGTTTAAAATATCTCATATTTGTCTATGAAGCAAACTTTTAAATATTACCTCCTCAGCTCTGTTTATTTGTAATTAGTGAAAAAATTATGAGCATGTACAAAAAAAAAAAGTATAGTGGGTGTTGGGCATTGTAATTAACAATTTGATAAAATTAATATCTGTTAATTTTCTGTTGTAAAAAAGAAATTATGCTTTTATGTTTAATTTTTCTTTCATTGATACTGTTCAAACTTGTTGATCACTGTAACTTCAAATTACCAAGATTTTTAATGTATGGTGTCACTTTTTACTTTACACTGCATTTAACAATTTGGTTTCCAAAACCAGAAATGAAATATCTATTCATCTGTAAAAATCTAGAAGTTGAAAGATTTTTCAGAATATTAAACAAATCTATTTGTATTTTTCTGATCTAACATACATTTCTTAAAACTCTATTTTAAACAATTTTCATCCTATCTTTATTTTGCAACCTCTTTCATTATGATTATATTATTTGTTACCTATGAATCTAATGCAACAATCTGTATGTCAAATCAGAATACTTTTATTTTATTTTTTTTTGAAAANAGCGAGACCTCATCTCAAAAAAAAAAAATAATAATATTAATAGTTTTTTTTTTTTTTAATTTATCAATTAGCCCTACCCAATCCCAGGGGCTGAGATTGGGAGGTCGAGTTTACCATTGAGTGCATCTTTTTTAAATATTTTAAGCACGTTTTTAGATTTTTTATCTCATCTGTACTTCTCAAGATTTTTGACACATTAACCATTTTGGATGCCTAGTATGTTTCTATTAGTCATCCATGAATGTCTCAACCCTCTAAAAGTTAATAGATTTTCTTTTTGAAAATTTTGTTCAGTAGTAATAATAGGAATCTATAAATGGGAAACTAGCTTTAAATGTCTCCAATAATGGCCGTAGAAATTTACATTGCACTAGAAAAGATTATTTCTAGTTTAGTTAGTAACTTTAAACTATGAAAATTGTTTCTAGAATTTTCTTTTTTACTTTTAGGTCCTTCAGGCCTTCCAAGTAACTCATGAGACATCACAAAGTTCCCCTCCTAGATATGAAAATAGTTCTACTAATGATGGCAATGAACAACCATCTTCACCTTCTGCTGTAATTTTGACTACCCCTCAATCATCTACTACAACTGACTTAAATGTAAGCCAAGTATCACAGAGATTTGAAGCTTCTGTACATAGCTCACAGACAGAAAAGTTTGTAGATTGTCAGAGTGCAGTATCTCGAACCACATCTTGGATTCTTGAGGACTCGGCTATTAATGATACTTCACAAAATATTAATCTTCAGAAATCACCTGATATTGATTCATCCTGTGAAGGTAAGGAGGAAGAAAAACCTAAAAAGAAGAAGAAAAGGAAAGACAGGTGTGATCCTGAAGCTGCTCATAAGTTTTGGTGTGAAATATGTCATAAGGGCTTCTTTTCTGCTTATAACTTGAGGCGCCATTGTAGAAATGTTCATAAAATGGCTTTACCTAAAGGTACCTCTGATCTTCCATTTGGTCCAAATTCACATGCTCATCAGCATATGCAGCAAGGAGAAAGCTCATCTTCTGAGATTGCTTCTCCACCAAGGCTGCCATATGGATCATCTCAGTCCTCTTGTGTTAGTCCAAAAGGTCCAGATTATATGTTACAGTCGCCTACTCGTGATACCAAGACTCATGAATTTGCAGCTAAAGTAGTAGCAACTAGCCAACATTCATCTCCCATGCAGACTGATTTTCAACTACAAACTGCTGCTCGTATTACAGGGCAGTCTACTTCATCTCATATTTCTCCAACAGCAGCAGCAAAATCAGTTCAATCTGATTTTCAGCTCCCAACACCTACAACAGTATCTAGTTCTCATATTACTTCAAATAAGATGCCAAGTGCAACCAAGACTGCTGGTGCACCAAAATTTCAACGATTGCCGACTTCGTGTTCAACTGCTGCTGTTTCTCAGATATCTGTCTGTGGACAACAATCAACATTACAGCAACAAAGACAGCTTAGTCAAATCCAGTCATCTGGATTAATTCAGCCTGTGCCAAGTGTTGCTTGTCAAGCACAGCAGTTACAAGCAGCACAATGCCCTCATTTTCAGCCAAAGCAAATTGCTCAGCAAAGAATTGGGCAACTTCAGTTAATGCATCATGCAACTCAAATTCCAGCATTACAGCACACTGCACATGGAATTCAGAAACAAACACAGGTTCAACAATATAAAAAGTGTGGAGCCTCTCTTCAGTCATCTAAATTGACAGAGACTGAACAAATTCAACAAAATGCTCAGCTTGCACAAACTCAACAAATTCTTGCTAATCAACAAATGCAAAAGATAATGCAAATTAGACAAAATGCGATTGCTGCAAGTGGTGTGGCAACTCAATTATCTCTTGGAACTGGTGTTCCCGGTGCTCAGTCTTCTAATGTGAAAGCAGCTGCTGCTGCTCAATGTTTTCAATCTCAATTAGCTGTAGCTCGTCAAGCCGCTGCTGTTGCGCAACTTTCAGTTACTCAGCGTGGCCAGGCAGCAAGTTTTGCATTAGCTTCACATGATTCTACAGGTCATCAGTTTTTTACTCCTTCAATACAACCTTCCCCTGAACAAAGTAGCTGCACTCATGCCTCTTTTACTGCCCAAAATCTTGTAGAATATAGTGCTAATGCTCCATCATATCCTACAATTCGCTTATCATCTGAGGCTAATGATGGCTTAGAAGATCTGGAGCAATTTTTAATGGAAAATATGCCTTGGAGTAGTGATCAGTCAGCTTCCCATGGCATGTCTCAACAATCTGGAAATCGTCCATCTAGTGCTGATTCTCTTACCTTATCAATACCCACTCCTGTCAGTTCTCAGGGGAAAAGTAAGACACCAATATCTAGACCTAAACCTCGTAAACCTGTTGTTGCTTCATGTTCAAAAAACTTGTTAGGAAATCTAAGCCGTGGTGTTAAGAAAAAATCCACTCCTAAAAAGGCTCAGAAACATGTTGAAATCAACTGTCCTACTTCAAAGGCAGCAATTTTTACTCAAAATTGTGTTAAAAACCAACAATCCCATGGCTTAGATTTAATTCAAATGCACTGTGATAAGGGAACTTCTAGTGATGTAAAGCAGGTATGTAAAACTACCAATATAAATGAAACTGATAGTTCTGATAGTGTTCAGTGTATAAATGTGGGTCATCATGCTCCTTCAAAAAATGTGTCTGTAGGTATTAACTTCAATACTTTTGTTCCAACATCATCTGGCATTATTACTGATAAAAGTATTACTCCTTCATATAGTGTTGATCTAGCTAATTCAAGATTATTTGGTGTACAGAGTAAGACTCCTTTTTTAGAGCATGGCAATTTAGTGAATAAAAACTCTCCAAACTTATGTCAAAATAAAAGTGTAATTAACCCTTGTGAAATAAATCCTTCTAATTCAGGATATTCCCATGTTGAAAAAGGTTCATCTTTTAATCCTGCTGCAAATTTTTGTCCCAGTGTATGTACATCTATAGTTACCAAACGAGCTGAAACTGGTCAAGATATTTTTTTAGGACAGCGAAATAGTGAAATAGGAGAATCGTCAAGTTGTGCAGAAAAACAAAACTCTGTTTCTAGTGAAATAAATGTTATTAATCCTCATTGCTTTGAGAAAACTGAAAATAATTTAGTGAAAGACCAAAATCATTCAACTGTTGTCCAAGCTGATCCTTTTTTAGGTGGACGAACTGGTGACACAAAACATTCAGTTAACAAAAATGATGATAATGCTGATTGTGTCACTACTTTTAAACAAACTTCAACAGATGATGTTACTGATTTTGCCAGTAATTTCAAACAAAATTCAGATAATTTAAAAGACAAAGCAGAAAAAAATGATAATACCGAAGTAATTTCTGAAATAAAAGATAATGTATCTCAAATTCCTGATAACAATTTAGATCCTTATGAAAATGCAGAAGATAAAAGTCAGGAAAACTTCAGCATAACTCATGAAAACAGGAATATAGACACTGGTAAAGAAAATAAATCTAAACTATTATCATATGAAAATTTAATTACTACAACACCTGAAACATCTATCATAAATTCGACAATAAATACAGAGCAAATGCAAGAATTGGGTTTAAAAGAAGCCATTGGTCTAAACAATAAACCCATATTAAAAGAAAAAATTTACCCTTTGGAATGTGGGGAATTTAATGTGTCAAAAAATTTAAATTCTGCTAAACAAAGTTTTAATGGCTTTAGTGTTAGCAGAATTTTAGACAATGAGTCTAGTCCAGATCTGGTAAGTAATGTTTGTGCAAAAAAAATTGATAACAAAGAAAATTTGTCTTTGTCCTTACCTACAGCTGCCTTAGATCACACTAAGGCTGTTTATAAAAATTGTGATAAAAGTATCTTGCTGCCAAAGTTTGAAGATAGTGAAAAGGACTCTAGTCAAGAAAAAATTTCTGTTAAAGGTGAAAAGTTCCCATCTGAAATACATAATGTAAATGTTGAAAGTATTGACAAATCTGCTAAACAAAATGGAAAAACAAATAGCAAATTACAAGATAGTATAGATTCTGAAGAAAGTGAATCTACTAAACAAAATAAAGCAGAAAATGTAATTATCAAAAGCAAAAAAACTAAAGATTTGTTGAAGAAAAATACTCCAGATGAAAATTTAACTATCTCTGTAGATGAAGATGACCAAAATGAGAATTGTGATCTTAAACTAGATATTAATTCTAATATAGAAAAGGTACTTATTAAAGATAAAAATTTAAATGGGACAATTTGCACAGCTGGTGATTTTTATCAAAAAGAAGATAAAATTATTCAAAAGGATACTCAAAATGAAGACTCCAACTCTAGTGATACAAAACATGATGATGCTACAATTTCATCCAGTAGATTACGGCTTCGTGATACACCCAAAACTTCGGTTAAACGAGTTTGCCCTTGCTGTGTGGACTCGCGGGTACCTAAAAAGTGTCGTGTGCCTAAAGTGCATATTAATACTATTAAAAATAAAAGCAGCTTGAAAACAAGAAACTCCTCCAGCATCCAAAACTCAAAAGTGAATACTCGGTCTTCACAACGTCTCAGGTCACGACATAACGCCGTCAGTTAGCCCTATAATTTTTGAAAACAAATTTTATTTTACTCCACTTTAAGATTGAAACTAGTCTGAACTGTGTAGAATAAAATAAAAGAAACTCCTGTAAATATATAATGTATATTTAATATTAATGAAAAAATGGATCTTTTTATAATCATGTACAGATTTTTATCCCAAATGTAAAGAAATGAGGAAAACAAAAAGTGTCAACTGATAAGATGTATTTCAATTTTGAATTTGGAAAATTCTATCAAATATTTAAAAGCTTCTTTTATTTGAATGTATTATATTTTTATGTTAAATCAAGACAGGTTTGCAGCTGCTCTTGAATTGTAGTTTTACCATTCTTTCTTGAAGTGAGAAAAATAAATATTTACTTACTTTAATGTTGCATTTACTTAACGAAACAAAAAAAAATTGAGGACCCATTTAACAGTACTATTTTTTGTATTGTGGATTAGTGATGAGATTGGTTCACTTTCTGATGGAAGTTTTCAGACTCTTAGTAAATATTTCATATACTTTTTTTACTAACTTCAAACTAATTAAATACTTTAAAATGTTATTTTAACACCCATTCATTGAAAAAAAAATACAAAGCTAGCAGCCATTATTGGTGGATATCTATAAAAATATCTGGCATTAAATGCTTAAATTTATTAATTATTGCTCAGTACAAAAGGTGCTTGTTTTAAGGTATTTTACCTTTAAAATTAAAATTCTATTTATTAAATTTCCATTTGTAGAAAGTTAATTTAACAGAACAGTTACACAGTGTAATTCTATAGTTTAAAACCAAAGTACGATGGTTTAAAGATTATTTTTTGGGAAGAAAATGAACAAGTGGCACACTCCTAAAAATAATAAATCCTAATCTAATTGGCACACTTACCAAAAAGTATTTGCCATCTCTGCTCAATGTAAAGAAATATTTTTTTTTAAAAAATCCATTAACATGCAGTTGAAGTGTGCCTAGAAATAAATTAAGTGGATGAAGGTTCTGAACAACATAGAGTTCTCACTCTGAGTGTTTTAAGTCATGGATTTCGGTATTGAATAAAATTTGTCATGATTTTAACTATTTTTTTTAAAAAATCATGAAAAGTCATGGATTTAGGTTGCCGAAAAATCTAATTTTTAAAATGGAATTTATCCCCTCCCTCCTATTTCATGATGTTCCAAATATCTGAATTTGTAACAAAATCCCCACTCACAGTCATATTTGATTAAAATATAAAATGTTTTTATCATGTTCTTTAAAAATTATGGTGTTCTTTCAAAAAATGAAAGAAAAAACAATTTCTAGAGCAAATTACCTTTTAAACTTCTGTGATTTCTGTATTGTTTTTTTTTTTTATTATTATTATCAATTTAAAATTCTAGCAGAAGCAAGCCAGTCATTGGCAAATTTTTTTATTCCGAAACGAGAACAGACAAATATGGAGTATTTCTTTATTTCCTGATGAACAAGAAAAGTATCTTCAGAATGTAATTCTGCAGAAAAAATATTTGCTTTTGTATTTTTTTCAGCTATTTTATTGCTTAACTCTTCCTTGCTCTGTTTAAATTTAAAATCTATAATTATGAAGATGCAGAGTATAACAGTTATGGTTATACCTATCATTTCAACTAGTAACTTCGTTAAGTCATGAATTTGAAAATCTAAATTGTAGCAGATACCTTGCAAATAACTTCCAGCACTCCAAAACTGTCAATTACCTTCATTAACTGAGATCTTCGAAATATAGTGACTTGGCTAAATAAATCACTGGCATATTTAAATATGACAAATAGTTAACATCTTTTGCCACAAATTTTTTTTACCTTCAAAAATATTTTTTTGAATCGCCTTTCACTAAGCTCTCAGATGATTTTTAGCAACTGTATGCATTTATGAACAATAGGAATTATAAGAATATGAATTACAAAGAAACAAAAAAACTTTATTTATTTAGTTTTTGCACCCTTACAAAGATAATGACTCAAACACATTTCTTCTCATTTTGATCAACATGGAATGAATTTAAGTAAGGATAAAGAAGCAACCAAATGAAAATGTTCATGTGAGGCATTTGTTTACAATGTACACAAGATGGCATTCATCTTCTCAATAGTTTCTTCTTTCTTTTTAATGATAGCAGCATCAGAATCGAGGTACTGCTGTTTGCTGACTTTGTTAGCAACTAATTTTTCTACCAATACAGATTGTTGCTGAAGCTGGTCTTTGAAAGCTTTGTCACAGCGTTGGAGCTCACCAATCTAAAAAATATATAGTTATCATTTTTTATTTTCAATTATAACATAGTCATAAACAGGTACTTTTGTATTCTTAGAATTCTCATAAAACTCAATATAATTTTAAAAAAATATTTGTTCAGAACCATATTTTTTTTACAGCAACAAATGTATAAATAAAAAAGTTGTTGCCCAGAGATGGGATAAAGGTCATTCGTAAATTACATTTATTAAAGCTTAACCCTCTTGGTGGCGCTTACTTAAAATAGTTTTTCTCTTAGAAGGTAGAGCATATTTAACAGAGTTGTCCGTGAAACGGCAAGGGTCAGACAAAAGGAATGCCTCCCCCCTTTTTTTCCGTTCGCTGTTAAGGNTTTGAAAAATTAATCAAAATTTGGAAAGCATTATTCAAGCACTAGACTTCTAAATTTGAAAGTACGAGGGTTGCTATTTAAATTTCGGGCCTTGGCAACAGTAAGTGTTGCTAGGCGACCGCAGAAGATTTTAATCGAAAGTGTGATATTTATAAACATGAATTCAGCAGACGATTTACCATTACAGCTTCATTTGTGTTGTTGACAGTAAATTGAAAAGTTCTTCTCTTTCAAAAAATGGAATTGAATCGTGAACATTTTCGTGCCAATATTTTACATAACTTTCGACGTGGATTGTCAAGACAAGAGTGCTTCGATTAACTTAATTCTTTATTCAGCGATAAAGCGCCTTCCTTACAGCACTGTAAAAAATTGGTATAACGAACTTAATCGTGGTCGATGTTCGATCCAGGACGAATCCTGTGCAGGTCGTCCAAAATCTGTTGTTGTGCCAGAAAAGATCCATGCTCTGCGTGAACTGATAAAGCAAGATCGTCATGTGACATACCGTGAGATAGAGGCGTCTTTGGACATTAGTATGACTAGCATCAATAAAATATTGCATGAACATTTGAGCGTAAAAAAAAATTTTCGCATAGGATCCCGCATAATCTGACAAATGCTCAAAAAAAGGCTCGTGTCGATTGGTGCAAGGAAATGTTGGAAAAATACGTTCAAGGTACATCAAAGGCTGTGTATAACATCTACACAGGTGACGAATCATGGATCTATGCATATGAGCCGGAAACAAAACAGCAATCAACTGTATGGGTCTTCCAAGACGAGGCAAAACCAACAAAAGTTGTTCGAGGAAGAAGCACATCGAAACAAATGATTGCCTGTTTCTTCGGCATTAACGGTCATGTGGCAACAGTGGCGTTAGAGCAACGCAGGACGGTCAATTCTGAATGGTACACGACCATTTGTTTGCCAGAAGTCATCGGAGAAATTCGAAAAAAGCAGAAGAACAGGCGAATCATTCTTCATCATGACAATGCGAGCTCTCACACATCGACTCAAACAAAGGCATTTCTGACGGAGCGAAAGATCGAACTGATGGGTCATCCGCCGTACAGCCCTGATTTGGCACCCAATGACTTCTTCTTATTCCCACACATCAAAAATAAATTACGTGGACAACGATTTTCGACCCCCGAAGAAGCGGTTGATGCATTCAAAACGCATGTTTTGGAGTTACCTCAATCGTACTGGAAAAAGTGCTTTGAAAATTGGTTCAAACGCATGCAAAAGTGTATTGATCGTCATGGAGAATATTTTGAAAAACAATAAAACCAATTTCGATCCTACATGTTTGTTTTTTCATTATTAGGCCAGAAATATAAATAGCAACCTAGTAACAGTTCTTTACATAAAAATTTACATTTTAGTTCATATCTCACTTTTTCTTAAAAGAGCGATACTTTTCTTTTCAAGTTAACAAATCAATTAAACAAGCTAGAATACTGAACACAGATAAAAATATACTATTGCATAAAATTACAGCATTCAACTTTCATGTTGAAAAATTCTTAGTATATTGAAGTCAAAATGAATCGAGATTTCAAATGGAAGTGTTATACAATTTTAAACGACGCATCAGAATGTTTAAACGAATTACATATAAAATATTTAAATCTTTTTTGTGGGAGGGAAATATTGCAACCAAAATTTTAACTGCTTTCCAACTGACTAAAATGTTCAGATTTAAACTGAAGTTCTGTACCAAATGACAATATAAGTCACAATCACTTGCTGACTCCTACAAGAAAAATTTTAATACAGGGTTCCCACGGTCCTTAAAAACTGCTTAATTTTTATTTTGGAAAATAAGGGCCCTTAAAAGTACTTAATTTTGGTTCAAGGTTTTTAAAAGTCCTTAATTTTTTAGCATCACTACGGTTGATAGGAACAATTTTTTAAAATAAAATGGAGTTCTCTTATCACTTAGAATTAGACCAAGCATGGAAGGTAAAGCATTTTAGAGAGACAAAAATTAATGTGTGTAAAGGGGGGGGGGGCAACAGTCAAGGAGAAGAAAACATGCCCTTTCATTAATATATTCTGTCCTTTGCCTAGAATAATACTTTATGAGGAGAGTGAAGCATTCTAAAAGAGAAGAAAATAGTGTGAACAAGGGGAATACTGCACATAAAAGAGATAGTACTCTTCTTTTTTTTTTTTTTTTTTTTCAAGGTACCTAAGCAGAAAACCCACACTAACCTTCAAAGTTGACAGAATTCAAGAAATTAAGCTCTACTGGTAATGCATCTGCTTTTAGGGATTAACAGGGCTGATTGTGCTCCGGATTTTTCGCTAACCGTGATCCGGAAGTTTCCGGAGATCGAAGGTTAAGACGTTTAAAAAAATCATTGATCACAAAGGTGTCCGAAAGTCAAATTTTCAAAGGTGGAACTTAAAATCTCAGTTTATTTTATTTGTTTGTAAGGGAGAGCCAGATACTTTATAAGCTTATATTCAAGATTAATGTTAATTTTTTTTATCTGTAAATAGTTATTATAATCATAAACTCAACAAAGAAAGACATATTTGTAAATTTCAATTACTTTTCCAAGTCATTATTGGTATGTGTAAATGGTATAGGTATATGCAAAATTTTAAAATATATTTTAAGTAAACTAAGAAGTATTGAGAAAAAGAAAAAAACCTTGTTTAAATTTTTTTTCAGTTTAAAAAAAATTTTTTTTTTTTATTTCGTGAGAAATTTTCCGGAATTTTGACTTGGGCTCACAATCACCCTTGGATTAAGTAAAACGCTAAGAAAAGAAGTATCAGAGAAAAAAAACATTTTGAACCAGAATCCATAATGAAAACTATTTCCTAAAATCTCAAATTAAATAAATTTGTATAATATTTCAATGTGTAATAAGTAAATGTGTAATTTATAGAAAGCATAACATTTTTTAAAATTCATGATTGTAGTAAAAATTAAACAGATTTGTGAGAAACAGTGTTTGAAAAATCCCAGCCCACCTAGATTTTTCATTAAGAACCTGGGGTTTATTGGTAAAAACCAAGTGTTTTTTAAAAAATACTTAATTTTTTTTTTCCTGGCTGCTAAATAAGAAAGCATGATTTGCTTCTAACAAAAAAGTTAAATATTAGGTAACTATTTATAATTTGTTTTCTTGCATTGTAAATTTTTTTTAAAGTTCTAGATTGTTACACTATTATTTTTATTTCTTAAGGATAAGCAAATTTGCCTGGTGATTCTTTGGCGAGCCTGTTAATTAATGCAGTTATATCAGAGCTTACATTATAATAAAATTGTTTTAGTTTTTTTTATTGATTGCTTTTTTTAGGAAGGTAAATAATTTGCACTGTCACTAGTGCCATATGTATATTCAATGATAAACAATCACACAATTTTTTAAAGTCCTTCATTTCTTCAAAAAAAAAGTCCTTAAAAGTGCTTACTTTTTGCTCTGTTGAAAAAGTGGGAACCCTGTATAACTGAATTGCGAATTATCACTTATAGAATCCTCAACTACTTCTTAATATTAACCAACAGACAAAAAAAAATTCAAATCAAGAAAATAGTAGAATAAAAGTTTTAATAGTTATATTTTTTTAAGCAGACTAGAAAAGAGAAAGGGAATTAAAATTTTTGTTACATCCAACAAATTGAAAAACCTGCAAGCACATCACCTTTGAAAAAATCTTCCGATCACTGCCGAATCCATGCCCTTTGTTTTAGATGCAATGTCTCAAAAATTTAAATTTGATCCCACTTTGGAAAAACTGATTTTAAAAATGTTTAACTTAAAATGCAACTAAATGCTGACAGTTGCTGTATTTGAAGAAAAAAAATTACCTTATCTGTGACATCAGATCCTTCCTGCTTAAGTCTTGTGTTAAGGTCATTAATGCCCTGAGTCTCTGTTTTATGGTCATTGTTCAACTTTTTAACAACATTCTGGTAGTTGTTAAGATCTTTACTGTGTTTGAATTTAGAGAGTGCCTCATCAAACTTGCTATAAATTTTCATTCTATTGTCACAGTGGTGATGAACAGCTTCAATAAAGCCCGACACTCGCAGTTTGCTTTCCTTTAATGGATCCTATTTTTTTTAAAAATAATAAATGTGAAAGAAACGAAGTTCTGATAATAAAAAAACTATTTCAAATACACTGGCCAAGTAATAAATTTGGTAAAAAAAAATATGCTAATATATTAAAAAATTATTGCTTAATTTTATAAGTAAATAGTTACAGATAATAAACAAAGCCATAACAAACATAAAGCAAACAAAATTAAAAATCATTTAAGTACTTAAAAGAGGAAAGAAATTTAATGTATACCTTGGTGTAAAAGTCAACCCACTGTATAAGTTGAACTCTTATTTTTGATTACGAGAAACTAATTTCTGTTAAGTAGGAAATATAAACCGACTGCTGTTGGTTAGTTAATAATTATTTCTATATACATTATGCATCAAATAATACTAGACGCGTGGCAAAATCTGGATTCAAATGCTTTTGTAAAATATTTTAAATAAGGAATTTTGAATTTATTTGATGGGGGTAAAGCCTATCGAGTCGCACAACAACGCTGCAAATGTTAATGAATCCAAAACAAATGATATTCTAGAATCTTTAAATTTGTAATTTTATAGTATGATTTTAAAAGTTTTCATTGTGTTAGATTTTTTAAATGCTCTTGAATACATAATTTTTAAAGTAACTTAAATACTGTTTTTTTTAAAAAAAAACTTTATTTATAAAGAAAATAGTAATAATATGAGAAAAATACAAAATAAATTACGTATAACAAATTAAATATAGTTTCAGTTTAACTCTATCAATTCAAATTATAAACTATATATAACAAATTAAATATAGTTTATAATTTGAATTGATAGAGTTATTCATATCTCACTGCTTATAATACATTACTATTTATTATATTAAGGAACTTAAGGAAAGAAAAAACTTTATGGCTTAAAGGAAAAAAACTTAACTTTTGTTATGAATAAAAAGAAAATAAAACTTTAATGAAATAAAAATAGAATGATTTAATGAATAAATACTGACCAAATAATAAATTAGAAATAAAAATGTACAGTAAAATTAAGTGTTTTACTGCTTGAAAAGAAAAACTTAAAAAAAAAAACTTATCATTAAATTTAAACTGTTATCATGCTAGGTAAGTGAATAAGTTCAAAAGAAAAATATTGGAATGTATGCAGAAGATAAAAAATAAAAAAAAACTTTATATACTAGAGCAAAATAATTCAGAATAAAATATACTAAAAAGAAAGTAGTACTTAAATAAACAAAGGAGGAAACAAAAGCAAAACAATTTATAATATTCAAAAGTAGGATCTGCGTTCAGTTCAACAAATTAGAAAATAGATATCACAAGACACAGTACCTGCATCTTTTAACTGATAATGGTAATTGCATATAGAACTGTAATAGATACCTGTCTTTCTAAATTGTTTATTTGGGCTTATTACAATATTTGTTTCAATATTTCTTAAATTTAATAAGCTGACAAAATAGTAGAATAGACAGGAAAAGAAGCAGAAAATAAAATGCTTGACAACTTTAAGAAAGAAAATAATTAATATTAAGTGTGAACCATTTGTAAAATAGAAAATCCAAAATAAAATAAAATTATATAAGACTTCTTACCCTTGTGATGCTGAAATCCAATCTGACATAGATAATGACAACAATAAACAACAAATACAAAGCACTAACGACTAAAAATGGCTCTTGAAGCATCAAAATTTTCTGATATTCATAATGAACCTACATAAAAATAAGTTAGCATGATGATACATCATACTGATAGCAAAAAATGCATACACAATTTTAAAAACTTCAACAAAATAATTTTTAAAAAATATTAAATCAAAAATACACTTTTTTACATTGCTATTTTTCTGTCAGTAATTATAAAATGTTGCTAACACTAAGATATATAATCAATATATTCAAGTCTATTTTGACGGCTTCTTTAATAGAAACGTGTTAAATCTTTAAAAACAAATCCATTTGTTTAGAAAAGAAAAATGGTAATTAGTCAGTAGTGGACAGAGAGACAGAATTACAAACTTCATTTAGTAAAATTTGCAGAAAAGTAGTAGGGAATAATGAAGATAGGCAGATTTTAAAAATATTGTCTTATCATAGTATTCCATAAAATGAATCTCATATTACCAATGAAACTCTTCAATAAAATTTAGAATAGGGAAAATATTCAGAAGTCCATAGTAGTTTCTTAAAAAATATTTTAGGAACAAGAGCTTAATTAAAAATTGATGCTTTAAAATAATTTGGGACCTTAAATAAAAAATTTTAGAATAATAAAACTTACTCTTACAAGGGAAACTAGGGAAGTGTGATTTCTCCAATTTTGAAATAAACTAGTGGGATGCATGCCTTATGAGGAATAATTTTAGGGGGCANCTTTAAAATAATTTGGGACCTTAAATAAAAAATTTCAGAATAATAAAACTTACTCTTACAAGGGAAACTAGGGAAGTGTGATTTCTCCAATTTTGAAATAAACTAGTGGGATGCATGCCTTATGAGGAATAATTTTATGGGGCAACATTCGTTTCGGCCCATAGAAGGTCCTGTGAGAGATAAAAAATAATTCAAAAAATAGGAAATCGGTGTTTTATTACTACAATGCAGACTATTAGTTATTGTAATTATCTCATACTCCAATTAATTTTGTGGTACTTTCACGTACATGCATATTTATTGCATATTTATTGACAAAATTGATTTCGAAAATTTTATATATCTGTAGTTTTTCAGAAAAACCTGTTAGGTAAATTTTAAAAAAAATTGACATCAAATTTTTTAAATTTTTTTTTCAAAAAATTTTCCAAATTATTGGAGTATGTAATCGTAAATCAACTAATTAATTAATAAATAAATAAATAATAATTAACTAATAATTAATTAATTAATTTGCTAATTACTTTATTAATTAGAAAATTAATTATTTAACCAATTAGTTACAAATTAATTGGAGTATGAAACAATTACAATAACTAATAGTCTGCATTGAAGTAATAAAATACCGATTTTTCTATACATCAAATTATTTTTTATCTCTCACAGGACCTTCTATGGGCCGAAACGAATGATGCCGCCTAAAATTATTCTTCATAAGGCATACATCCTACGAGTTAATTTCAAAATTAGCGAGTCAAACTTCCCTAGTTTTCCTTGTTAGTAAACCTGGAATATAATTCAAGAAAAGTGAAAAAAAATTTCCGATTTTTTTTTATATTCCTTATATAAAACATGTAAATGACTAAACATTTTAAATAAAATTTAAAATCATGACTGCAAGAGCCAATAAAAAAAATTTATTCTTGCTAACTTAGTGATAAATTATTTGAAGTGTGTCTGCAATGTTCTGAGTGAAATATTTGTCAAATGATATTGAGAACAATGAAATTTGCTCTTACATTAAAACCTAAGATCTTGGAAATTTGGAGACAAAAAAATTTAGAACAATGAAATTTGCTCTTACATTAAAACCTAAGATCTTGGAAATTTGGAGACAAAAAAATTAAGAACAATATTTTTCTTATGTATATGTATTTCTTTTTAAACATAGAAAAATAATAAAGCATGAAGGGAAAAAATGGTATATTGACTATGCTTACGAACCAATTAAACCTTCATAAATAAAATATGAATTTTGTCAACATTTTAATCAAAATTTTTAAATAATTGATGTAAAAACTTGCAGCATTATTTCTTGAATAACTATATATTCTACACCTTATCATAATCATTATTAAATATTTTGCTAATCGCAGAAGCAGTAATCAAGACGCATGGAAACATTTGATTCGGCTATGTCATAGACACAACAAAACAAAAAAATTTATTTTTTGAGAAAAAAAATTATTATTTAAAAAATTATTTTATTAATTATCAAATTAAATATTGAACATAGAAACTGAAAATAATAACGAAAAGTTAATGTTAAAAGGAAAATTAAAAACTAAAATTGAAGAATAAAATAAGCTACTAATAGATTATTAAACTTTTTTTTTTTTTTAAATAAAAGAAAAACATCAATATCTGACCAGATATCTAGTCATTTTAATACGAATTTTAAGTAAAGAATATTGATATATATATCAAGACTTTAATCAATCAACCCTAGTGATACAAAGGAAATAAATTTAATCATAAAATAAAAAATATATTCAGTTCTTACTTCAAAGTCTTGAATGTGATGTTCAACTAAATTATCTTTTTGCAACACAATTACTGGTCTCCCTACAGTGTCTAAATAGGTGAAATGTAATTCATCTGATAGACGTTTCACATTATAAGGCATCTTTAGCTGAATATTTCTACAAATAAAATAAATGCACTAAATTATTTTTAGACAGCAACCAACATCATTTCAAGTAAAATTCTAAGATTAGGACATCAGAATCATTGATTTTTAAAAATACAGTTGTGAGATAATTCCATTAAGATACAAACTATGACTAATGTATAAAGAAAAATGTTTTTCTAAGTAGTGTTAATTGCTTAAATTCTATCTCTAATTTAAAAAATAAAATATAATCTTAAGATGTTGCGTTTAAGAAAAAAGAATAAAAAAAAATCAAAAATTAGTTACAGTACAATTGTTGCATCGCGCTTTTGCTACAAATTTTATTCAAAAACTTGCATTAAAATTATCGGTCATGAGCCAAATAAATTGATTCAAAAAAAATACTTTAAAAAAAAATATTGGAATGATAATAATAAGTTATAGTTAAACTTTTCTGCAGTTATTTAGCAATTTTTCATACTTTCAGTAGTAATTTAATATGTAATATGAAACAATTGATATTCTCCACAACTTCCCCAAGTTACAATTTCATTCAAAATTATAAATTTAGTTTTTAATTGTATTAAGATTACAAAACAAAATTTACAAAAATATCAGGAAGATTAATTTCAATTTATATGTCAGGTAAAAAAATTAAAACACTTGCACTTGAAAAAAATATGGGTTAAATATGGATTAAAAGATATTATAAATAAAGGGGAAATTCATAAAATAATATATATCAGCAAATAAGTGAACTAAAAAAACAATAAATTGAGCTTTTTATTTTAAGCTTTTTACAATTCCACACTCAAAACTAAAACCCTTAGTAGTTAGTTAATATTGGAATGCAACAATGATAAATTGCAATTATGATATTTCTATTTAGAAAGTTGTTCTTTATTTCAAAATTCTTTTAATTTGATGAATTATAATATATCTCAAAATTTTGATTTATCTAATAAAATATTTTAAAAAGATATTTAAATTGTGCACGTGAATATATATTTATTAAATCATTTTCAGTGTTAAGTGTAGTAATTCAATGTGAGGCGCATTAAACATTAGGCACATTTTCTGCAATTTAAAATGAAACATAGATTGTCAAATTTTAGAAACAAAGAAGCTCAATTAAAGACACTTAAGATAGGAAAGAAAACTATAATCCTAAATGAGTACTGGTTTTATTACCTTTAGTCACTTTATAAATATCACTTTTCATGGGATTTTGAAAATAGCATTTGGATGAATGAAACTAAAACTTACAGCTTAATATACTTAATAAGCTTTTCACTAACCTTAAATAGAATCAAGAGTTAGCCCTTAAATATTTTAACTCAAAACTTTTTGGAGACTTTTCCATTACTTTTATTGTTATTAAATAAAAATTAGCTCTTTCATCAAAAAGAAGAATGTCATCTTATTGAGAAAACTATTGTTCTTTATCAAAAAATTTTACTCTAGTTAAAAAATTAAATAAGTTTGACCTATTAGCTTTATTTACTTGTCAGAGATGACTAAACTAAATAATAATTCTAACAATTCTATTAGTTAATAACATTAACATGATCATGTGTTAATGATCAAGTTAATTCAGAATTGCTCGAAATGTGAAAAATAGTTTCTGAGACACATTTATTCTACTTTACTGGTACCAACTTTAAGAATGATAGATTCGGAGTCAAAGTGAGAAAAAAAATAGTGTTTTTTTTTATTTATTTTACACGATATGATGGAACTTTAATTTATCTTGCATTGGATATCACAAAACCCTTCACTGTTCCAAAGCAAATATAAAAGTAAAATGTCAAAAGGTATTTCTAAACTACTATTGGTACAGAAATGATTTTCAGCAAATTTACAAGCACATTTTATGAAGCCTGGTAAAATTTATCAGAGAGCTAACTACAAAAATCTCGTAAGATTAGTTCATGGGAAAACATTTTTGAAACCTCCCAACATTAGTTCCAGCTTTATCTAAACTTCAAACTGATTGCTTCAATGAAATAAAAACCAGTTTTTTCTTACGTTAAGTACCAAGAAAGTTTCTGCTGTCATAACACTTTTCTTTTTTAGCATCTCTAAAAGCCAAATAACACTTTTATTTGAAAACAATCATGTTTTCAAATAAAGCAATAAGTGCCTTTTAATTGAATTCTATATCCTTACCTCAAAATTATAATTATTAATTTTAAAAAAACGACTTATAAGCATTATTTCAAAGCTCATTCAATAAATAAATTTCAACTAGTCTTAAACTGTATTTTAAGAAAAGTATTAAAAGAGACTTAAAATTTCTAAACCAACTTACTTGCTTCCTTCAGGTAAAATCACACGAACAGTAGATTTATCTACTATACTGTCATCAAACACATGATCAACAAAACGCAGCTTCAAAACATACTGATCACCTAAAGAAAAAATTATTAAGATCAAAATAGGAGTGATATATACTTAAATAGTCTTAATATAATCCAATAATTATTCTAAGCTAAAACCATATTCATAAAACTATATTCAATCAACATCACTGAATAAACAGTTGGTAAAATTACAATTCTAGTATATATATTTTTATATAACTTTAAACATTTGTTTTAATTTAAATAGAAAATCTCAAGTAAGGTATAAGTAATATAATCAAAATAAATTATATTAATTAATAAAAATTTTAACAATAATTTCAAAATTAAATTAGGTGAAAGCAATTATATCTTCATACAATTTAATTTGTAGTTGCTGAAAAATAAAAGTACAGTACAGAACCCGTTATCCGGAAATCAGAAAACCGGAAAACCAAAAAACCGGATCGAAATTCGATAAATTAATTTTAAAAAAAATTTTTTTTTAAAAAAANTTAAATCGAAGTACAGTGTGGTAAAAAACAATGGACCACCCAGAATAACTTCTGATATAAACGTTGGATCTTTACGTTCTAGGACTCAATGACTCAAGGGGGTTATCTCAAATATGCTAACTAATAAGTGCAGACTATATTTTAAGTCACAAAATCAGACACAAAAATATACTTTCTCTGAATAAACATACCTTTTTTCAACGGATTCGAATTTCTGACTAACAAAATATAAGGGATAGCCGCAATCTGGGAAATATGATCCCAATAGTTTGGTCAGGAGAGTGCTCCAAAAATTGCACCCCTTAATGTTAATTTTACTTTTGCGTATTTCGCCATATTTCGAGAACTTTTTAAGCAAATTGAAACATTTTTGGACACAATAATAAAATTAGTTCAGCCAAAGATAATTTCATGCAAAAATAACTTTCAATAAATGCTTATTATTTTATTTAATAATGGTCGAATTTTAAGGTATACAAATTTTTATACCATTTAAAAGAATATAATTTTACAAGGCAAAATTCTATTCTTTAAAATGATGCAAAAAATTTTATACCTTACAATTCAAAAAAAATTTTGTCCACTATTAAATAAAATAAATATTTACTAAAAGTTAATTTTTGCATGGAATTATATTTTGATAAACAAATTTTATAATTGTGTGTAAAAAATGCTCAATTCGCTTAAAAAGTTCTCGAGATATAGCGAACCACGTAAAAAGTAAAATTAACATTAAGAAGCTTAATTTTTGGAGCGCTCTCCTAAGCAAACTATTGGGACCATATTTCCCAGATCGCGGCTGTACCCTATATTTTGGAGGTCAGAATTCCAAATCCGTCAAAAATAAGGTTCACAGAAAGTACGTTTTTGTGCCTGATTTCGCAACTTAAAATAATATCTACACTTATTAATTAACATATTTGAGATCACCCCTTTAAGCCATTGAGTCCTAGAACGTGAAGATCTGACCATTATATAAAGAGTTATTCTGGGTGGTCCGTGTTTTTGGCGCATTGTGCATGACAAAATTAAAATTTCTAAACTATATCTCAGAATGTTGAGAATAAATTTTGACATCAATTTTTTTAACTTCATAAATTTGATACTACAGACAAAAATCTAGTAATGCATGATTTTGCTTTTATTTCAAAAAGAAAGAAAGTCCTCCTGTAGTTTCACACAAATACTGATTGCCAATCAGAACCAAAAAAACGCCCCTTTCCAATTTAAAAGTTCTTATTACAAGAAATTCTTTATGAATTTGCTTCTAAAAAATAGTTATCTTGATGTTTAAGATAGAGGATTAATTTTATACCATAAAAGAGCAATGAGTGGGGGGAAGGAAGAGGATTAATCAATCACAGTAACCGAATTGAAGATTGCTGACAAAAGTGCAGATGTTTGTAAAGTCCAGAGCAAAGAGAGGGGTATAATTATAGTATAATTATATCACTCTTACAGTCTGACTTTCGGTCTACATGTTGATTTAACAACAGTAGCTCTAACAGTTATTAATGGGACAAGAATGGCAGATATGACCTTGAACTTATGTATGCACATCAAAGCTTGATTTTCTAATTTTTAAAGTTATTTGTTTATATTCATATAACACCATTGCAAAACTTCACTTTCAGAGTTAAAAAGCAGATTTTCTAGTTTATATTTTTGTCTTTGTCTCTCTAGCAAACAATTTTTAGGAGTATATTGCAAATTCTCAATAGTAATTTAATACATTCTTCATACTCTTAGAATTAACTGGTCCATTACGCAATAAAATACCTAATAACCAGCAAGAATGACAAAGCACACATAAGCCATTTGATTGCCAAGTACTAAATAAAAATCACATAGAAATCTGCACTTAAATTTTTGACATGCTTGTAACTATGATCCCCATTCAAAAGTCTTGAAAATTTCTAGTAAAATTTTAATATCATAGTGCTGTGCTTTGTAAACACATACAACATATTCTATTAATAAAAACACGTGCAGTCTGTTTTGTTTCTTTATCATTCAAAATTATTGACATTTCATCAAAGACAATGTATAGTATAATTTAAAAACTCAGTGTCAATTATTAAGTAAAATTTAAAACAAAAAAATTAAAAAGTAAAAGAACACCTGAAACAAAATTTCCTTTCCATTCATAGATATATTTTCTGAAAAGAAATATTTAGATTTTTAAACATACCTAGGAGAAAACTTGGAAAAACAAATAGGTCCTTTAACTAGATGATAACTACATTAGCACAGCAATTTTCAGATAAAAAGGTATAAGTAATATAAATCACATTGACTTAAGTACGGACATGTGAAAGTACATAGCTCTTCATTATAAAATTACTTAAGTTTTAAAAAAATTGCTTTAAGCCCAGTTAGGCTTTTTCTAAAGTGTTCAATTAATAAAAAATAAGATATTTAACAATGCTCTATAACAAAATTACTGAACTTAATCAAAAAAAAAATAACTGGAAAACAGATTTTAAAAAAATTATGAAAAAAAATCAGCACTAATCTAAAATCAAAAGAAATTATTACAAGAAAGAAGCTTAAAAAATATTTACAAATCTGGATACATGAACAATATTTACTATTGAGAAAGAGGAATGCATCAGCATAACGTTTTTGAAATTTACACTTCTTTTAAAAACAAAAAATATATGATTTGTTTAACTTACAAATAGAACTGATAGTTAATATCCTAAGTTTTTTAACATACTATTTTATTTTTTAATGACAATTTACCATGTTCAAAAGTCCACAAAGCAGGGTGAAGTTTCTATTAGTTTTTATTGCTATTATTATTTAGTTTACTCTTTGCCCCCTTATTATAATCCCAACCATAGAGGACTCTTTGCTCCCCCCCCCCATAACCACCACCCCTTTTGAAGAATCCAACAAAAAGAAAACCCTCCCTTCCCTATTTACATCTTATCGACACTGATAAAAAAAAGGAAACAAAAGTTGCTCTATTGCTCTTATGTTATATATTTATATTTGGAGAAAAAGATAAAATTCCAAAAATGAATTATCTGGATATTAACTGTTTAAATATCATAAATTTCCAGAAACTCCAAGATCATTGATTGCAGATTGAGAAAAAAAAATTATTACAAACTTTTTCTGAGGCGCAATCACCTCTGATAAACTAAGAAAAAACAAAAAAATGAAAAAGGTTTTTTTTTTTTTTTTCTATTTCTACAGATTTTATTCAAGAAATATTTCCTTTTTTTTTCCCAACTGAAATGAACAAAAATCAAATTTACAACAGAACCATGTTCTTATGACAGTTATTATAAAACAATTATAAGTATTTCAACATTATAGAAGTAACAAAAACATTTATCTTTATTGAAATGCTGGGATAAGAGATTTTTGTCATTTAGTGTCTAGGTTTTGAAACCAAACTCATTTATTCATTCTTTCTTTTTATTCAAAATATTCAACAAAATTTTACAATCACTAAAAATATAAATATATACATATAGGTTTTTTCTTGTGTGTGTGTGTGCATCTCCAAACTATAATACATTAATTTTTGTTAAAGAAACTTGTGTGATCATTAATAAAGTTTCAATATTAAATATGTAGAATTAATGATTCTATTAAATATTTTATTATATAAACAACATTCGTATTTTGTAAATAACATAAATGCTTTAAAACTCATGTTTCCAAAAATAAATCAAAACAGGGACAAAGATTTAGAAGAATTGAAAAATTTTCAAATGAACTGAAAACAGATTTTTTCTAACTGAAAACAGATTTTTTATAAATAAATATATATATATATAAATTTAATCCAAAATTCATATGGTATAAGACATTTACGAAATACTTTCTACGACAGTATTTTGTACAGACACTCACCACTATTAAATAAATATTCATAAGTAGGTACATAGTAGCCTAGAACATAATGAGTTTTCCAGCCACCAAACAATGGAAATCGTGGACGTAATTCCACTTCAGTTGAATCTTCTAAGACTTTAAGATGACTAGTAGAAATGTTTCCAATCTCATCACGATAATAGACATCACTAGCAGATGCTGGCAGAACAGTCTGTAAACAGAACAATGAAATTCACAAATCGTAAAATGAAAACAAATAAAGAACTGCAAAGACGGGGGGGGGGGGGGGGGNGGGGGGGGGGGGGGGGTGCAAGCAAAATAGGCAAAAAATAAGAATTTTTTTATGAAAAAAATTTTAATTAGATTTTTTTTAAATTTAAATCAGAACCATTTACATAGTTTAATTTTTTTTTTGATTAACCAATCAAAGCTTTGATAAAATTTATTAATTGTGCTCAATTTAAAAACAATATTACAACTAAAATATTTAGAAATTTTAACTAAAATTGTTATAATTTTCAGCATATTTATAATTATTACGAACTAGTTAATCACTATATTAGATCGCAGGATTTTCATTGCTATATTAGAATGCATGTCCTAGCCACCTTATTTGCAAAACCTTGATCATTTTTATTATGTAAGGTTCTTTGTATTTCGATTGTAATTGAGGGTTGTAAAGAATTCTCCAGGTTCCGTTTTCTCTTACTGCACCAAAAAGTTTCCTTAATATTTTTCTCTCGAAAGTCCTCAGTTTCTCTTTGTTTGCTTTGTTGATTGTCCAGCATTCTCTGCCGTATAAAACTATTGGTCTCACTAGTGTCTTGTACAACTGTAAATTCGCTTCACAACTTATGTATTTAGATTTGAACTAGTTATTCAATCCATAATAACATTTGTTTGCCATGTTGATTTTATTCCTGATTTCAATTTTTATGTCATTATTACTTACTACTGAGCCTAAATATTTAAATTAAGCTACTTCCTCAAACTCATACTTTGGAATTTTCAGTGGTTGCAAATTTGTGATTCTGTTCATTATTGCCATGAATTAAATTTTTTTATTATTGACTGACAATCCTATGCTTTTAGCTGCAACCTCCAGTACACAGAAAGCCTCTACTATAGCTGCTCTACTTCTTCCCATGATATCAATATCCTCTGCAAATGCTAGCAGTTGTACAGATTTAACAAAAATTATGTTCTGTGTTTGTATACCAGAGTCTTTAACTGCCTTCTCTAGAGCTATATTTATATTAAACAAATGACATGACAAGTACAGTTATAAGTTTTTTTTAGATAAGTACACATATAATTCTGATAACCTAAGAGATTGTTTTTAATAACTGTTTGAGTGTTTTTAAATAATTAAAAAAATACCATAGCATATTTCTGTTTGTAATTAGTGCACCAGAAAAAATTTTAGATAAAAGCAGGGCCCATGCTAAGCATTCGCCACCTCGACAAATGCAATAAAATCGTAAATTTATCAAATAAAATTTTGCTTCGGCGAATGATTTTTTACGCTGTGGAAAGAAAAATATGTATTTAACTATTCTCAAAATGAATTTTTCTAAGCAAATCAGTATTTTTTATTCGATTACAGTAATTTTCGGTAGATGTGCCGCACACCTAATTAGAATTGGATTAAAATAATATAATCCTGAAACAAAATTTGCATTTGGCGAGGACTTTTGAAAAATGGTGAATACTTTTGATATTTGGCTAATTTACTGGCCAATAATTTGAAATCCTTAGTGCAGGCGATGTAAGGGACACTGATGTACTAACTGTGTCAAAGGATTAACAGATGATCTTTAAAATCACAATTAGACCAATAAAATATCCATTTAAAATAATTTAAAAACAATAAAAATACAAATGCAAACAAGAAAAGAGAAAATGAGAGTTGAATTGAGTTTTGATATGTTTACCTTGAAGGACTTAACAGAGGCAATTCCACTTTGGTCACGTTGAAATTCATAACGAGAAAAGGGTCCTTTTAGAGTTGCTCCAGTGTGAGTAATATCTATTGTTTCTTCCACTGATATAACACCCCAATGTGAAACTTCGATAGCTCTATTTAAATTACTTACTGACAGGAAAGGACTGTTATTTTCACAATGAATAGTCAATTTGCTCTAAAAAATAATGAATGGTCTTTAAACTACATAAAGCTTTATACAATGAAATAAGCATTATGATAAATGTTATATTCACTTCAGACAGGTAATTTCATTATTTTTACTTCAAAAACACTACAACAAACACTTTTTTATTTTATGCATTTCCATTTAAAATATGTATTGCACATAAATTCATAAATAAAATAAAATAGATATGCTTTTAAAAATATAGTTAACAAGGCAGTCTTAAATAGAAATAAAAAAACTTATATTTTAGCAGTGCTGTTTAAAAGAATGGTTTATAATAACTTTTTTTATATACATGTTTTTAAAGTAAAAATCTGATTTTTTCTTCTTTTATTGGATTATGAAAAAGTTTGTAAAATTTGATCATACAAACATTCATTTAAAGCATTTCTTTTAGAAGAATTACATGAAATCTGACAATGGCAACATTTTTATCTGACATATAACTGCATACACACTTTTCAATAAGGAAATAATAAATTTAAAAAAAAAAAGAAGAAATCTACTAAAATAATGGTTTAACAATTTTTAGAAATTTTAATACAAAATAACATTTTATAAATTGAGTTTTTAAAATATTACTTTACTTTTAACTGTTGTTCAACATAGCTAAAGAGTTATAACAGGAGTTAATCCAGGCTTTTTGTAAAAGGTCCATTTTTGGGAAATTGCAAAAAATCTACTAATTGTTATGTGAATATGAGAAAATAAGGTCTTCCGCAGGAAAAAAAAAACTATGTCTTAAGTTTAAGATGTAAAATCATGAATGAAAAATCATTGACTTTATTCTCATAAAAGAAAAGTCTTGTGAAATGCCTAGTTCTTGGAATAAACATTTTGTGAAGGGTCTGGCATTTGCAATAAAATATTACATGAAGGATATGAAACTGAAAGAATGAGAAATTTAACTAATTTAAGAAGAATCAAGCAAGGTAAGACCCAGAAACCTAAAAATTTGTCAAAATTCCCAGTAACAAAAATTAAGCAGCTTGGGAGCAAGCGTTGCAAATAGTGCCGAGCTGAATTTTTTTTTTTTTTTTTGAGTCACAGTATTACATATAAGAGAGTAAGGCTAAATTGACAATTCTCTACATTATAACCAACTATAACTTATTCATGTGGATTTCTACTAGTATGTAGCTTTTTATGCAATACATAAAATTCATATTACAATAAAAGAAATTTTTTCTCTGTATATTTTCGCATTCATTTGCTTTTTGCAAACACATATTTTTATTCCATCAAGCTTAATTTTATAAAAAAAATTAGTGCAGCTTTACACCTTAGATCTTAGGTTCATAGATATATTTTAAATCGTGATGACAATGATGATGCCGCAGCTCAACACAGAAAATGCTGCTACTGTGCTCNTAAGTATTTTGTCTTTTTTTAAAACTTTCAACTATTTTGCTACATTATGCTTTCAGAAAAAAATGGTCCCGACTTAACTTTGTTTACTGAAGTATTATTCAAGCATACCTTAAAATATAAAATACAGAAAGTTTATATTTAGTTCTAAGAAAATATAATTTCGAACATTTTGATACAGTACATGACATACCTAAAAATGATATTAAAGTCACTTATATACAAAACTCAATAATCGGTAAATTCTCAAGATAGATCTTACCTGACTTAAAAAAAAATCCTTAAGTTTTACAGCGCATTAAAGTATTTGTTAAAAATTAATAAACAATTACAAGAAACGCTAATAATAAGAACGAGTTTGAAGCTTGACATAAACAAAATATATCAACATGTAAGACATTAGTAAGGAAAGACGTTAAAAAAAATTCGCTTTTAATAAGAAAAATTATCAAAAGTATAAGGCACAAACACTTACTACACTAAATGGAGCAATATTATCATAAGAACCAAAAGTGATGAGATTATCACTGTGAGCTAAAGGCTTCAATTTTGTGAAAGATTCAACAGAACTTGATGGAAGAGTCACAACAGTTGTTTGAGTTTTAGTGAGGTAAGGACTGTAATAATAATGGCTACCATGATACATAATCAGCTGCTTATCAGACTGGGAAATGCTAGAAGGGTAAGGGACTAAGTAATGGGTGAGAACTTTCTCAAGGCGAACTACAGTAGACTTTCCTGGCTGCAGAGGGTTCTTGAAATGAATCTTGATGAGATCTTTGTCCTTATGAGGGCTAAAAGAATAACAAATTTAATTTTAAAAAAAAGTAACTTTGAAAAACAATAATTTGGAAGACATTTTAACAGGATATACAAATAAAATTATAGTTGTCGACAAAAAAACATTATCTAAGAATGAAATTGTACTATTATTTAAAATCATTAACAGCAAAATAACAGATAACTAAAGTTAAAGAAACAATATGTTACAAAAGCTCTAAGCCAAAAAGCAGAGCTTATTCTAGGCAGAAAAAAGGGCAGGGAGCAAAAGTTTAAAAAAAGGGCATTATTATTCTAAAAAGGCAATAATTTTACGTTCTATTAAAAAGCATTGTCAATCAGTAAAAGAATTTTTTTTTTTAACTTAACTGAGAGTAGCAAAGCAATCATTAATTACTTATTTTCATTAATAAATTAACATATATATCGAGTTAATGAGCTAATTAGCTTAGTAATTTATTTAAAATGCATGCATATATTAATAAAATAATAAATGTATGTTTTTAAGTGTCTGTAGTTATGATTAAATAATTAAAATGATTAATAATAATTATGATTTAATGATAGAAGTAACTGCAAATTTTCAAAGANATAATTATGATTTAATGATAGTGAAAGTAACTGCAAACTTTCAAAGACAAGTGCAACAAGGGGGTTTGTTGGCTATTTTTCCTTTCTCATATAAATCTTTGTATTGACAGCAATGACAAACTAAATAAAAAGAGTTAAAAATAAAAGTTTGAGAAATCCACTGTAGAGTTTGGGGAAAAAATAAAGAGTTGAGGAAAGAAAGAGCAAAAAGGGTATGGAGTCTTAATACATCAGGACACTAATTTACTTCAGGGGCAACAGGGTGGATTCTTTTGACTAAAAGGGCAGCAGGGTGCTGCGCCCTGTTTACCCTGCCTAGAATGAGCTCTGCAAAAAGCTACAGAAACATTAAATACAGATAAAATTTGATTATTAAATAAAATTTTCTTTTAATGAAATTCCTGGTAGCAGAAACTCTGCAGTTTCGCAGCATGAGCTGCAGAATATGGAAAGATTTTATTTCAATAGTCATCTGCAAGTTAAGCCTTTTTATAATTTTTTTTTTTTACCATCTGATTTCTATAATATGCTTAATTTTCAAAACTGTGCCTTTTCTTTTTCGTTTTGACAATTGTCAAAAATCATGAAATTTTGAATCATGTAAAACGAATGACGTTTTCATACGTTTTACAGACTGACAATACGCCGAAATAGATTGGGGTTGAATTAATTGTGAAAACGTTGAATAGAACAATGTGAACCATGTCTTTTTGCATAATTCGTAGCGAAAATCAACATTGTAAAGGAAAAATCTCATTTCGAAAAAGGGGAAATTAAGCACTTTTTAAAAACACGAAATGAAAAAAGCATCTTTAAGGGCTTTTAAAAAACGAAAATAAGAACCTTTAAGCACTTTTTAAAAACGCTATGCACCCTGGAGGAGCTGCAATGACACTTAATTTTTCTTTACAAAATAAAAAAGTTTTTAGTGAATTTTAAGGACTGTACAATTTAATTTACCTCTGTTGACGTGATACTTCTTCCGTCTTCAGTAGAACTTTACCTTCTTCGTGGATTTGCTAAAATAAGCAACAAGAAATATTATATAGAGGAACTGAAATTTTATGTAAAAAGTTGTACTGACTATTGAACAGCAAAACAGAAAAATAAGAAATTCTAGTAAAAATGAATAAGTTCTTGTAATTGCTAAATAATTGTTACTAATTTCCTAAAAATGTTATTTGAATACCATGATTCAATTTTTCATATTTCTTTATTATACATAAAACTGGGTTTTTCAATTTATTAAAAAGAAAATATTTTGAAAAAAAGATTAAAAAATTAAGAAGAGTCTGTTGTATTAACTGAAAGCAAGAGACAAGACTATAAAAAAATATCTGTAATGTTTACACAGAGAAAATAATGAAAATGGAATAAAATAACTTGGAAAATTCCTTAAGAATATAAGACTAAAAAAGCAACCTTAAACTTCTAAGAAATCAAAACAAAACAAAAATTATAAATTATTTTGGGGAATCAAGATTCAACGAAGAAAAAAAAATCTCAATTTCTTATATTAAAGTGTAGGAAATTTAAATTTTTTTGTGATATTATAATTATTTGTTTGATATAAATAAAACCTAAATTTCTAAGGAAAAAAAAGCAGAGGTGAAAAATCCAACATCTAGTTATTTTCAATCCTAACAATTAAAAAAAGCAAAGCAAACCAAAGTGCACTCCACAAGCTCAATGTCCCAGAACTTTCAGAATTATTATTTATTTGATAACCTTTATAATGCAAAGCTCGAAACTTAAGACTTATGAGTTATTTGTTATTTTAAATTTGCGTTATAAATCATTTTACTTACCTGCCTGTTGACCAGCATTTAAATATTTTAAATTGCTTTTATAAAAAAATTATTTTGAAATATGAAAACATACAATTAAGTATATTTTATTTACAGAAGAAAAGAAATAATCATACCTTAAATTATAAAAACCATTAGAATCAATAAAAAAATTTATGAATTTTATGAAGAAATAGTAACCTCTTATAGAATTAATTTTTTGCAGCCTGTGATAATGGTTCTTGCTCAGTTCATTGCTTACATGTGCAAATTTTATGTCATTTATGGAGTATTGTAGTATATATAAATGTGTTATCAGGGGTCTGTCCAGGCCGAATTTACTACCGTTTAGCGGTACCTTCACAAATTCAATTTTAGGAAAAACGGTAGTTTCAAAAAATCAACTTTAGGAAAAACGGTAGTTTCACAAATACTTTTCTTAAAATTTTATTTTTGTATCCCTCAAGACACGATAAATTCATATTTTTACCATATTTTTGTGTTGATTTTTTAATATAATTTTTAATTTTTCACAAATTATGTCTAAATTTTCACAAAATAGGTACCTCTCAGAAAAACCTAGACAGACCCCTGGTTATATAGATCTTGCACTGTATATACATACAAACATACATTTTCTAAAAATTCAGACTATCACAGCACTTAAATTTAACAGAGCAAACTTACTGAAAGAAAAATATATTTAATACTTAGCATAGCAGACTGAAAAACTTCTTAAATAATGCATCACTAATTTTAGAGTTTTAATTCTTCTTAAATTATCAGAATACTAAAAGCATACATTTCCTACAGTACAAAATCTTAAAGATTTAATCCTTATTTATTTTTAAAAAAATATTTAGTTTAGAAAAATAAACAATAAAGTTAGTTGATTACAGAAGTTCTAAGTAAAAATTTACTTTTTCTGAGTAAATAAACTAAAACAAAAAAGGTAGGAATTTTTTTAAAAAAAAATTTCAAAAGTTTATTAGAAAATTATAATAGTTAACAAAAAATAAATAACACAATTCAAAATTATTTAACATGAGAAGCATATTTCTAACAAACTCTGTAGTATAAGATNAAAACGAATGACGTTTTCATACGTTTTACAGACTGACAATACGCCGAAATAGATTGGGGTTGAATTAATTGTGAAAACGTTGAATAGAACAATGTGAACCATGTCTTTTTGCATAATTCGTAGCGAAAATCAACATTGTAAAGGAAAAATCTCATTTCGAAAAAGGGGAAATTAAGCACTTTTTAAAAACACGCAATGAAAAAAGCATCTTTAAGGGCTTTTAAAAACCGAAATAAGGATCTTTAAGCACCTTTTAAAAACGCTATGCACCCTGGAGGAGCTGCAATGACACTTAATTTTTCTTTACAAAATAAAGAAGTTTTTAATGAATTTTAAGGACTGTACAATTTAATTTACCTCTGTTGACGAGATACTTCTTCCGTCTTCAAGAGAACTTTACCTTCTTCGTGGATTTGCTAAAATAAGCAACAAGAAATATTATATAGCGGAACTGAAATTTTATGTAAAAAGTTGTACTTAGTTATTAATGACCATTGAACAGAAAAATAAGAAATTCTAGTAAAAATGAATAAGTTCTTGTAATTGCTTAATAATTGCTACTAATTTCCTAAATATGTTATTTGAATATCATGATTCAATTTTTTATAATTTTTTTATTATACATAAAACTGGGTTTTTCAATTTATTAAAAGAAAATATTTTGAAAAAAAGATTAAAAAATTAAGAAGAGTCTGTTGTATTAACTGAAAGCAAGAGACAAGACTATAAAAAAATATCTGTAATGTTACCTGTGATAATGGTTCTTGCTCAGTTCATTGCTTACATGTGCAAATTTTACGTCATTTATGGAGTATTGTAGTATATATAAATGTGTTATATAGGCACTGTATATACATACATTTTCTAAAAATTCAGACTATCACAGCACTTAAATTTAATAGAGCAAACTTACTGAAAGGAAAATATATTTAACACTTAGCATAGCATTCTGAAAAACTTCTTAAATAATGCATCACTAATTTTAGAGTTTTAATTCTTCTTAAATTATCAGAATACTAAAAGCATACATTTCCTACAGTACAAAATCTTAAAGATTTAATCCTTATTTATTTTTAAAAAAATATTTAGTTTAGAAAAATAAACAATAAAGTTAGCTGATTACAGAAGTTTTAAGCAAATAATTTACTTTTTCTGAGTAAATAAACAAAAACAAAAGAAGTAGGAATTCAAAAAAAAAAATTTCAAAAGTTTATTAGAAAATTTAATAGTTAACAAAAAATAAATAATACAATTCAAAATTATTTAACAAGAGAAGCATATTTCTAACAAACTCTGTAGTATAAGATTAATATGAATTTACAGAATAAACAGTTAAAACTTAATTATTCGGGATACGGAAATATCCCTCTGAATTTAAACCAAAGAAGCAATAAACTAGTGCATTGATTGTATGGTTGAAATTCTTATCTTACACAAAAAAACATATCTGAATCTTTTTTCTTTCTGCAACAGATTCACTTTTTTGCATTAATTTACGACAATAATCTATAGTTAAAGAAACTTATTGATAATATATTATAAATCAAAACCTTATTTTATTTTAATTATTCTAGGGCTATACGTAGACATCACAAAGTAAATAAAACTGATAATAAAAGATAAACTTAGCGTTTACACGTAAACAAAGTCATTCCCACTGTTCACATAAATGTATTATATTTAGAATAAAAACTGATCAAGACAATAAATTCTATTATATGATATAAATTAAAGATATCTAATGACTTACAGATGCTCCAAAAAATGCTAAATGGGGTTTTGTATCTGGTTCTAGAGCATATAAAAATGTAGATACCGGCGACTTTCCGGTGTTTTCAATCGTTAATTTCATCAGCACCTTCACTAATTGAGATGCAATATCTATATTACGATCTAATTTTGCATTAACTAGTTCTCCATATCCACTACTAACAAAGCTTGAACAAACAACTAAAATAAGTGAAAAATACATGATTTCGAAAATTAAAAGGATTTTACAACCACGCGTCGTCTTGACATCAGACAAGAACCGAACTCCCAAAGTTGTGATGACGACAAATAAAAATTGTTGCCAACTACCTAAATGTAATTTAAAACTAATAAAATTTTATCTATAGTTAAATCAATAGACATAATATCTTGGGTTAGAATACTATTATTAGATTATCTGAGTAGAATACTATTATTTAACGCGTCTTTTATAAAAAGCAAACGAAATTAGGAAAAATTAAAATTTTAAAAATATGCCTCTAAACTCTGCAAAGCTGTCTGGTTTGTTTATATTTACTTAGCTAACAAGTTTTGGTTCGTGTCAGTTATTAAGATTCTCATAATTTAACATCAGTACTAAGTAAAGTAAGGGAGACACGTTTATTATACATTTGAATAATTATTGAAATGGGATTATTTGATAAGTTGGCATACTTTTTGGGCATCAAACGTCGAGAAGCCAACGTACTTATTGTTGGATTGGACAACAGCGGCAAAACGACGATTATAAATCATTTTAAACCCGAAGAGCAGAAATCAATGGAAATCGTTCCAACTGTTGGATTTAACGTTGATCGTTTTCGAATGAAAAATTTAAGTTTCACAGCTTTTGATATGTCTGGGCAAGGCCGATACAGAAACCTTTGGGAACACTATTATCCAGACGCACAAGGTATAATCTTCGTTATTGATAGCAGTGATGCTCTTAGAATGGTTGTAGCCAAAGATGAACTAGAAATGATGCTGGAACACAAGGATATTAAAAATAAAACCACGCCGATTTTATTTTTTGCAAACAAAATGGATCTTCGTGAGGCATTGTCAAGTGTTAAAGTCAGCCAAGCATTGGGACTAGATCGCTTGAAAAATAAACCTTGGCACATATGTGCTAGCAATGCACTTACTGGTGAAGGATTGTCAGAAGGAGTGGAATGGCTTAGTGATCAACTTCGCACCTTAGTTCAAAATAAAAACTGATTGCATCAGTGTTATAATATGTTAACTATTTACCACACTAATGTTAATCAGCTTTGTTGTAAAAAACTAAATGATAATGTTTCCATCCAACTTGCCTATATTTTTTAAAAACACCCACAATCAGCGCTACTTAGCATCAATTTTAAGAAATATACTATTTAAAATAGTTTATTTCAGCAATGATGATTATTTATCTTATTTTGATGTGATAAAAATAATCATTATAATGAATTTGCGAGATAAAAATAACTGATTACATTTATAGTTAGAGCATGCTTTTTATAATTGTAGCTTAAAATATGTACTTATGTTTGCATAACTATAAAATGGCCTTATTTTCTAAGAAAGTTAAGACTATTTTATACCTTAAGAGATAGGCTGTACTTTGTGCTATGTAGAATAAAGTAAAAAAAAAAAAAAAAGCATCATGAATGAAGCACAAATGAATGCCCAGAAATGGACATATTATAGTTTCATTTCCATAAACAAAAACCTTTCTCAGTGCCTAAATACCAAATGAAATTATTTTGCTTTATTTAATACATATCACAATAAAAAAAATATTTTAAAAATTCCTTGTATTCTGAATAAATTAGTTTTTGGTGACATTGTAATTATTTTTGTGATGATATGAAAACTAAACTATTTGAAATTTATTTTATAATTTTGATTAAAAATAATTATAATTGTGAAATATAGTAGGATTTTTTTTCCCAACTCTATCTGCTACTTGGTCTAAGGCAAAAAATAATTTATAACATTTTTTGCCAAATAATCATCAGCTTTAAAATATATTTTAATTGACAAAATAATAAATTATTTTTGTTTCATATTTTACCAATTAATGAACTTATAACAAGAATTCTTTATGGTGATATATTTTTTGTGACTTATTTATTAAGTGCTGAAATCTTATCTTAAAATTAGTGTGATTGTCCAGTTCAGGATTTTGAGAAATTTTTTTGATAAGAATAACCTATTATATATTTATAAGTCAATTCATTTTAATTAACTTATAGTTAGAATTCTTTGTTCTAAATAAATTTGAGCATTAAACTGATTTTTATGAGGATGAAAAATACTTAATTTTATGATTTAGAATTCATATTATAATTTTAAATGGAGTTGCTAATAATTGTTATGTATTTTCAGTGATACTTATTTCTTAAAAACCAAAGTATTATTTTCAAATTTATGTGATTGTCTAGTCATAAGAAAGTGCAATTTTCATGTTGTAATCAGTTACTGTTCGGAGTAATTAGATTTAGTCATTGTTGATTTATAGTAAAATACTTTGTAAAAAATATTACTTTTTTTTTCTATTTTCTGAGCATTATTTTTCTTTTAATTGGTCAGTAAGCTTAAGTAGAATTAAATATTAAATCAGTAAAATGTTTTAGTAAAAATTAAGTAGCATTTAAATTTATTTTAATTTTTACCATTTGGGTGTTGTGATCTATATTTGTATTTATCTATATTCATTTTATATTTATTTTACATAATATTATTTATTTAATGTACTAAAAGCAATTTATATAAATCCTGTTTTGTAAAAACACAATTTAAACTATATCAAAAGCATTGTCTTTTGTTTGTGAGATACTTAAATATAAATTTAACTAACTACTAAAAAAACTTATCACTAAATAAAAATGTTATGTTCTCATTGTTGATGTAATATAGTTATGCATAAATTGTTTTATTTATATTAATTTTTTCTTTTATGGAAAAATCTTGATTAGAAACATTTATTTTTCTTTTGTTATCATAATTCATCACAAAAATTACAAATCAATCCTGATAAATAATATTTTTATTTAACTCCAAAGAATAGTTTTTTAGTTGAAGAGAGCAGCTAAAAAAGGTTCATTGTTGACCTGCCGACTCCCATGCTGATTTGAATTATCTTATAGTTCATATTCCCATATTCAAGTTAATACCTACAAATAACATTTCATACTTCATATGATAAAATGAAGAATTTTATTTTATCTTAAAAATAAAGGTGCAGTTTTATTTACTAAATTAATTTTGTGTTCTTTTTATATGTATTGAAGAACATTAAATTTTCAAATATCTATTAGCTATATTTTAATTTGTTCTTCATTATGTATTTAATAATGAAAGATCCGTGGTTGTTTCTAAGTTTAGCTTGAATTATCTGTTACTTTATTTAAATCAATTTGAGTTTCTGATGTCTTCAGATAAAATAATGAAACTTTAATTATCTTAATTTATAAAACAATAGAAATACTCTAAAAAATGGTGCTAAGGGTGTGTATAATTTTTTTTTCAACTTTTAAGCATAATTTATTTACTGTGATCTGTTATACTTTTTTAACTTTTTACCAATATATCTTTTGGTGCAAACAGATGGCACTGCTTTTGAAGAACACATTTTTTTCCAATTTACTCTTAAACATGACATGGTAATTAAAAATATCTATAAATATGTCACAATTTCACGACAGTGTGTTTTCTGTTATGCAGAGTTTAGATGTTTAAAGATTCTTCAATTCAAAATTGTGGGATATTTTTTATTTCTTGTACTAGTATTAATTTCCAGTTGAATTTCACGGTAAGATCTCAATTATTTTCCATGAGTATTCTATTAGGCTAAAATTCAAGAAAATTGGGATAAATGTACGAAGAATTATAATTATTTAATAATTATTATTCCCTTTAAGTTGTTCTGAAGCCAGAGTCTACCTCCCTTCTAACAGAGAATTATGTAATTCTTAATACCTTAGTCGATTCCTTCTTAAGCACTAATTAATATTTTAAAATAGTTTTTGTTTCATTTCATTAATTACAATGTATTTAGTGAATCAATTGCTAATATTTATTTACGTATTTAATGAATAAAATTAACTTTAAATACTAATATGTAGAAACTTAGTTATTATGTATTAATTTTTTTAAGTTTTAACTTTATTAAATTTTATGAAAGTTTGCTATTGAATTGAATTTACCTTAAAATTTGGTAACTAAGTTCCAAAAAAGGCATATCAATGATTGTTGTAGAACAAAAACCATTCCAAAATACTCTTAGTGACTTACAGGAAATTATTTTTCATGTAGCTCTCCATTAACTAATATGAGAGACAGGGGAAGTATAATCTGACTCCAGGGCACTCTCAAACAGATATTGTTGTTTTAAATAAAGTCTTAATATTTAAAACTACATGTTTTTATTAATACAAAAAATAATAATTGAATTGAATTTATCAAACAAATATCAGATTATTTAATTTTCTTTGCCACAATACTTAGTTTTAAGTTTCAGTGTTCCAGATATGCAGGATATATACAAACCTTGTATGTAGAAAATTTCCCTTTATCCTGCAAAGTTTTTTAATATTACTCATTATAAAAATGTAAAAAAACAGACAAAATTTCCATTTTCTACTCCATTGTCAATTTTAAAAAATTTGGATACAACAACGGAAAATTATGTCAACAACTAATTTTATACCCTTAAAACTCTTATATTTAAAGAAATATATGCTGATATATATAATAATAGCTGTAAAATTTAATAATAATTAATACACTTTTTAAAAAATAGTAATTTGGTGCAATTTGGTAAATTTGGTGCAAACAGAAAGGTTGAAACTACTTACTAAACACAATAAATTGCTTGCAGAATGTTTATTAATTCAGATTATGTGTTAACAGCAAGTTTTTAATTTTATTAAGTCTGGAGTGTTCATTTTAAAAATATTTTTCATATTAGTGCTTTATTTAAATATTATATGTTATGTGTGTTTATATGCATCCACATACTAGTCATAGTGTATTTGTAACATTGTTATTTTATATTTTGGTATATTTTTATATAACAAGGTATTGCACACTTGCTAAATCTTTAACTCTAGTATTTTATACACCTTGTTAGCTTTCAGTGGAATTCTTTTTTTGCTTCGTGTGCACACACAATATGCAGATCTAATATATTCATATTGAATGCAACATATCCAAAAAAAATTTATTAAAAAATTATATTATTTACCTAAATGTAATTTTGAAAAGTTCAATTTCTTAAAAGTGTGACACTTAAAAAGATTTTAGTTACAGGATTTATCATACATTTGTATAATGTATAATAATTGAACTGTTTTATATATTTATTTACTTAAAACTTTAAAAGCATCAATTTTACATTATTGACAAAAAAATGTATTTAATCATGGAAATAAATTCTGTGCTGTTTTTAGTTTAACAAATCAAAATTGACACATACATACGTCTAAAACTGTCTTCATGTAAACTTAATAATTTTTTTACATTTTGAGATATATTTTGTAAAATGTATAGCATCAATCCGTCCATTGTTCTGAAATTTCTCTGCAAAAATTGAATATTTTGCATTGATGTTAAATAATATATTTCATAAAAACATAAATTGCTTTTATGGTAGATGGTTTAACACTATACTTATGTGATTATGTAAAAGAAAAGAGGGCCAATAGACTATCCCACGAATATAAAACTTGTTGGTTTAACTAGAATTTTATTTTCCTTAACCTTTTCATAAAATGTGATATGAAAATCAAAGCTTTACTCGTACATAAAATTTGTATGAAAAGTTATTGATCACTCTTTGTGTTTGCATTATGTTTATTTTCTGTTTTCTCATAGAATTATACTATTTGTTTTATTTAAATGCATACATCTATTATATTTTAGATACTTTTGTTGATCATAAACTTGTTGGCAAGGAACATAGATTTCTTAACACTTATATTACAAATTTTATTTCTCATAACTTTTATTAAAATAAGTACTAATCTTTTAATTATTAATTTTGGCTTGCCTTCATTATGTATTACTTAAAAAAAGGTTTTATAGCTAAAACTTATTTTATATATATATATAAAAAAAAAAGAAGGACTAATGTAATTCACAGTGCAGAAATGTTTTCGTACTTACTAAAAGTCATTAATTACTGATCTATTGTATTTATAGAATTAAATTTTTAAAAGTGAAGTTTGCCATAATTATTTCTTTTTAAAGTGCATTTTCTGTTTTATTTACATAAAAATTAAGATGAAGTTAAGAGAGTTTTGAATTATTTCATACCATTTGAGTCTTATTTACTTGTGTTCTTTATGAAGTTTAATGAAGATGTGTTTAAAGAAGTGTTATTTTTTTCTTCTCCACGACCTGAAGATAATTTTGATATCAGCATTTCTAATAGTGTATAGGGAAAGGAGTGCTAGTGTAGACAAATGTGATATTTCTGTAATCTTCATTCAAAGTTCCTTTTTAAATTTTGCCAAATTGGAAAAGTGTGTTACACTTTTATACGTAGTTGCGTGGCAAAACACTTGATTGTTAATTAATACATTAAAAAACAAGGTTTTAGTAGTGAGAAAGTATATTATTAACTTTTTTCTGTCATTTTAAATTATTTTTGTTCGTTTTTAATAATAAAAATTATTATGAATGACAATGCTTAACACATATTTCAATAGTTAAGTTTGGTTTACCTTTAATTAACCAATAATAATCATAATTAAATAAATGACTTCACCGGGTTAAATTTGACAAGAGATGGATAAATACCAAATTTTTGGGGATCAATTTACAAAACTGATACTGAAACAACTAATCAATTAGAAGAGTTTTTTACTTTAAGAATCAGATAATTATCTTAATTTAGATCTTAAATAAAAGAGAAGGTGAAAAATTAATCAATAAGACTTTATTGCTTTTATTCCAGCTAAACGTTTAGATTAAATTTATAATACTACTGCAGGTAGGTGAAACAATCGTGCTTTTAATGATAGAAGAATACAACTTGATATACATCACACAACACGTATAAAGCTTTCATTTTGAAATGAGGCTATCTGAGATTTAGACAATAAAATAATGGTAGACTAACAAAACAAAGGTCTCTGAAAATTTTTGACACACTCTTTTTCAATGTCTTTTGTTGATTTTGAATCATATCATATAAAGCAATGACGAGAATTTGTTATATTGTGCATGCAGGTTTCTATTTTAATCTACATATATCCTGCCCTTCGCTCACCAACTACCATCTAGAGGCCCCCATCAGGTGAGAAGGTGGACGCACGATGCGCCCACTTAAAGCTTGGGGGAGGGGGATTACACTAAATAAAACAATTAGTTTTGGGGGGGGAATTTAGACGAGAGAATTCTTTTTTAAGTACATAAATAAAAGAAGCAACTGGCAATGTAAGCAAAGTAGCCATGGAAGGGGGAAGTTAGCAAATTTTTTTTGGGGGGGATGAATGTGCCCAAGAGCTTGGGGGGGATGGGGGCCACTACTACCATCACAATTCTTCTAGTTAGGCTTCATTGAATTTCAATCTGCACGATTCGTGACACCGAGCTCCAGGCGTATGCCATAGTTTAATCAATTGATGAACGGCAGTTTATGCTTTTTTTCGTTCGCGCAGTGAACAGTAATTTGAATCCTTGATTTAGAAAGTTCTGAAATTATCTCATTAACTGATCTGATAAATAGTTTGTTTATTTCTTTTTTTACCATACTGAATCCGTTAAGTGGGGCCTCCCTGGCCGAGCGGTATCACCGGTCCAAACGCTCTGTTAAGCGTGGAGGTAGCGGGTTCGAATCCCGCCGTAACCCTGGATGTATTCTTTGTGATGTCTTTCTCTGAATTGTTCTATCCGTATTTCTTACTTGACAATGATTTATAAGCCTATATTGAGCACACAAGTCAGCAAATGTATGTAATTTCAGTAAAAAAAAATCCGTTAAGTCGAATTAAGGTCATAATTTATTAATTCTCCACCTCAAAAATATATGAATGGCGATTTTTTTTTTAGTTGATATTCTGTAATTTTTTAAGTAGAATATTAAACTTTCATTCCTTAATTTTAAATTACTAAAGTTAATGAACTAAAAGAAACCACTACCTTTTCAAAAAATAAAATTGTTCCCCAGATTACAAACGATTGACAATATAAGTTTAACTAGAGAATTTCATGTATCGTCTTGAAATAGGCATTTTCAATAAGGATTACTATCCGATATCACATTCACAGTGGTCGTAGTGTTCTATAAAAAATTTTAATGTAGCTAATTAACTTTAAAATCACAAAGAAGCAAAAAAAAATTTTTAAAGAAAACTAAACATTTAGAGTTAAAATTTCTTTTTAATTTTAAAACATTGTTAATGAAATTTTGTCATTTTCATCTAACAATTAAGCGAAAAATAAGATAATTTTCCTTACAAATAAGTTTTCAAACAACTTTCCTAACACAATTTTAATTTCTATAGAACGAAAAGACCACTGCATGCATTCATACTTATTCCAAAATTACCAGACTGATTACAATATTTAAATATTGGACAGATAGGATGAAATTTTGAAAACTTAGTTTGAGAAAAATATCGCGTACTCTTACTTATGCTAATAAAATAACGCCTACTTTCACACTTGTTAAGAAAAATAACGTCTACTTTTTACTTTCATTTAATGTAACTTTGGAATATCATAACATTAACAAATAAATGCTTTGTTTTTATTTGTTTATGTTAAAATGTTAACATGTCCACTTTTCAGTGTATGTAAGTATCATAACATTAACAAATAAATGCTTTGCTTTTATTTGCTTATGTTAAAATATTCCAATGTTAACATGTCCACGTTACAGTGTATGTAAGTAATAATCCGAAGAAACATAATATTTCATTTTCCTGAAGTCAGCAAAATCTTCAAGATAAAAGATTTTAAAAGCTAACATTTTATTTATTACTGATCAATTTATTTTACACTGCAAAACAGCAAAAGTAAAAACAGAAAAAATTTCAGCAAGTACCATTTCGCCTCGGGTAAAATAGCTGGTAATTCTCATTTTGCCGCAGTAAAACAACAGCTCAGTAAACAATTTTCGTTACAATAACGCTATTGAATAGCGTTATTGCAACGAAAATTTCTAGTTACGGGTTGATTTGATGCAGTTACACATGTCTTTATATTTAGTTGATAAATTTAACTACATGATATTGAATGATAGCCATTGATGAATTTTCATACGTACATACAGTACGGTACATAGTGCAACAACAAAAAAATGTGACTAAAAAATGCTTTAGGAAGAAAAGAAAAATAATAATAATAATACTCAGAAATTGAAATGCACTTTATACATTATACAGATAAATCAGTGACAAAATCTTTCTCCTTTAGCTAAATAAGTTAACGAACGCCCTTCCAAAACTAAAAAACTGGCAGCAAAATTTCTAATCAGATTTTTGAAAACTCACTGTTTTACCCTTCCAATTATTTGAAAAAAAAAAAAAAATTCTGTTAGATAATCTATGTGAGGAATTTCTGTTCTCAGAGAACTTAATTGGAAGAGTAAAACAGTGAGTTTGCAAATATCCGTTTAGAAATTTTACGACCACTTTTTCAGTTTTAAGAGTCAACGAATTAATAAGTTTATGAAGCCTTCTTGGCACAGAATCTACGAGAGACTTGCAAGGGTCTAAAGTTGAAATATTTTTTAACTTTGTTTTTCAGTATTCCTGACAAACTTTCTATGGGACTGAAATCAGGTGATGGAGCGCAGACTCCTTCAAAATTTTTGCTCCATGATCATCCAGCCATTTTGTGATTTGTCTTGAAACAGCCGTCAGGGTAAACTGTTTCAACCGTGGGAAAGAAATCTTGTTAACTTTTCACACCTATCACCATTTTTCTAAGCATGATAATCTATGCTTATCATTTACTGAAAAAATGACACATCGTTCAGATTCGGGTTTAAGTCCTTTTTAAACATTTTTCCACACGAAAATTGTAACTCTGTTCATTCCATACATTTCCACCAGTTTTCGATCGCCATGATTAATACCCACGATTATCTATCTCTTTCCTCACAGGACATAATTCTTCACTTAAGTCTAGTTTTTAAAATGAAATACATTTTTAAAGAAAAAAAGTCAAACCCAGTCAGGCTGTTAAGACTTCGCCGTGCGACATGCGGCCTGGCATCGCTTGCTGGAATACCGTGTTGGGTGCGCCATGCAACAAGGGCAGAACAACGGGATACACAACTTGTGTGACGTAGCGGTCCGCTGTCAAACTGCCGTGAATGTGTACCAGAGGCGTTCTGCGATCAAACATTATGCCACCCCAAACCATGATGCCCGGTGTAGGACCGTTGTGACGCTCGGCGTAATGGGCTGGTTCGTAGCGTTCTCCGGGTCGCCGCCGTACCCGTCGACGGCCGTCATTTCTCCACAGACAGAAACGAGATTCATCCGTGAACAATACCCGATGCCATTGGATGGTCCAGGTACGATGACACCACGCCAGGCATCTAGCCCTGTGTAAAGCGGTCAACGGTACCCTTGTTGCTGGTACCCGTGTACGTAACTGTACTTCATGCAATCTGTTGCGTATGGTTTGGGTGGACACAGATCCACCTGCTCCTGAAGGCAACCGGCTTCGGATGGCACGTGCCGTGGAGAAAGGGTCTCAAATAGTCAACTGGCGAATACGCCGGTCTGTGCGCTCTGACGTGCACCTGTGCGCACCATTTCCTCTTCGGCGTGCACCTTCCTGAATTCATCGTGTGACGCAACGTTGGATGGTACTCACGTTGTGCCCAACACGAGTTGCTATTGCGCGCAGCGACAAACCAAGTTCATGGAGTTCGATAATACGGTCACGTTCCCCGGTCGTTAACTGATGGTATTGAGCCAGGGCCGCCTCGAAAGAAGGAGGAAGATTGAGCTCGCCGACGTCTCAGAGGCATTTTCTACGCTTTTTCGAAGGTCGCAAATGCTACGCAAAACTTCAGATGACGTTTATTAGATGAGAAGGGAAAGTTGCTGGCCTTTATAGCCCGAATATGTGTACCACGTGATCAGATGCGTGCGCAAATTTGATCATTTGCATATCCATCTCACTACTATCGCTCCTGAAATTTGCATGACGCTACGTGCATTATTTCTTGGTGTTGCAATTTCACTTTTGAGGAGTGT